CAGACAGTCTAGTTACACTCTTTCGTAGCCAACTCATGTCATCTACTCAGACCCACCTTTGAGTATCTTGTCACACCTAGCCGTCTGCTATACCTCGCCCCTGTGTCGTATCCCCCATACCCCTACTCGAGCATTGTGACTGGAGACCTGACCCTTACCGGTTAGTCGAAAGGAGCAGCGCTGACACTTGACAGCAGTTGTGGATAACCCTGCATTGGCCTTGACCTCCGTCTTGTGGCTCCAAGATGCTCGCACTCCTACCATGAGTGACACCCTGGCTTTGAGATCGACTTACTGCAGGAGCTGTCTATCTCAGGCAAGCAACGAAGCCTAAGCCGTCTCTCTGAAGTCGGTCCATCTGCGACAGCCCGCAGATTGGTGATAAGCTGCCAAGGACTTTTAGCTTCCAGCTCTTCGGGAGATCCGTCGTCGTATCACACATGTGGGAGAAAGTTGGTCCAATTGATGTTGACATACGCAGTCCCTTCCAGATCTCTCAACTCCGCAAAGGCTTCCGCAAGTAGATAAAACCTCGCAAGGCCATAAATTATAGCCAGCGGCGTTATCGTTGCAAACTCCCATGGCAACGGCAACTGCTTTGATTTTCTCTTGATTGTAGCAGTCCTTGCTGCTAGGCGCATTCTGTGTTGTGGCAAGGCCTTGCGATTGAAAATGAACAGGTAGAGTGTCTTCCAGCGACCGAGGCGAGTCCAGGATGCCGCTGTCTCGAACACCCAAAACGCCGCAGTGATTCCGAACAGCAAAAGTGAGCTGATACGCCAAAGTAGGCGCTCGATGGGAGTGGGAAAGTCGAAGCTCCAGCCTGCGACATGGATAGCGGTGAAAAGCAGAGTCGCAAAGCACAGAAAGTATTCCTGAATACCATAAGGATTCATCGGGAATCTGTCATTTGGGATACGCTGGATAGGTCTTTCTGCGGGAATGACCGGCATCTTCATAAACGGCTGTATGTTCACTGAATAACCGGGACCGTTCTCATCCACGAAATCAAGCGGCGTCAAGCTCCATTCTCGATTGAGTGTAATTTCAGCCAGAGAATGAGAGGAGTGGATCGGAATCGGGATTTGGACGTCTGCAGGTTTGTGGAGCCAGAAGCAGGAAGTCATAAGTGAACAGACAACAATGGCAAGAGCATTGAGTTCCAGCGTGGTAATGGCGAGGCGCTGGGTTGCTCGAGCAACACACTGTATGATTAAATAGCTGATCTGGAACGCGGTGACGACCTTGGTAAAGGTGTCTTGTTTAGACTTGTCCCAGATCTCGCGGCGAGTGATAGCCGGGTACTCAACGAAATTGTTGACGACGAGCCAGTGTAACTGCGTCGCATTGAGTGGGAAAGGTTCGCCATCTCGAGCGTGAAAGACGAATCCCCCCATATCCGCAAAGAAAGCCTGTCGCATGTGCCAATCCTCGTGGTTGTACGTCTTGAAAGCTACCACAGACTGTTTCGCTCGACTCCACTGGCCCGCGGCGTACGTAAGAGGGAATTCCGGGCCAAGAATGCCTAGAGCCATCCATAGGAGGCGACGCCGTGTCCTCGTTGCGAAAGTATCCTTCGGAGCTGGGACATTGAGGCACAACATGCTATATGTGCTGATGAAGATGGTCACAAGCGACGTCCAGATAATGTCAAATGTCCCTCGGTAGTCCGGCTGGCTCACCCAAGTTTTCACTCTTGTAGAGGAGGTGAAAGCAGTGCTCGAGTTGGTAGTATTCGTATACTCGGCAACTGGTGCTCCGTCGGTATGGTTGTAGTGGGCCTGGCAGATGGATGGGAAGAAGAGTAAGCTTATGAGGAACAGGATACGTGATGTCCCAGCCCATTGTCCTCCGAGACACTTTCTCCCACGAGCATACCTGGGCATTTGAGGCAATTGTATGTATATTTTGACAGCGTATTAAAGTTCACAGGGAGAGAGTCCCAAAGGAGGGAAAATGATAGCTGGGGAGTAAGTGGGCACCGCAGGAGTTGAACTTAGGAGACTTGGGAATGGGCAATCTGCTGTAAGCACAGCTAACGTTGGCCCTGTCCTTCCCAGGTTTGTGGACCTGAGGTCGAAACAGTCGCCGTTCCTCTCAAGCAAGCGAACCACTTCCGGCGACATGCGTAGGTACTGTATGTAGGGTCAACGGGGGTCAAACATGGCCAGAGCATGCGGGTTCTATGCCCCCGGCCTGCCACCCTGAATCATGAATCGGCCATGAAAGTCGCTTTCACGAGTCTTAGGAAATCCCTCCGTGCCAGGCATAGTTAGTGTTCAGCCTTTGCCAGGGCATACGGCACGATGGGTGCCGGTGTTGTCGCCATATCTTGCCAGATCCCCGGGCGCGAATCGCCATGCTCCACAAGTAGACGCGATCGCTGTTTCACAAAGTTCAGGGAGCTGCTGCAGAGGCTGGATGGCTGCTGGGATGTGTGCTCTCCTCTAAGCGCGTGGCTGAGACCCCAGACGATTTTTGGAGTGGCGCGTGGGGCGGGGATGAACACAACATCGAGGGAGTGTGCAGTGCGGCGCGTAATCTTTGATTGTCCTTCTGTAGCGGCTGCGACTTGCTCAGGGGTCGATACTGGACTCTTGGACAGCATCTCAACCCCGAACAGTGGCGCGCCTTCCATTATCTGAAGGTCCATGGTCGCTCTTTACAGTTGAGGTCTTGTCAAAGTTCTGATTATCCGACGCCGCGACGATGACGTTTGTCTCGGCAATCTTTCGACCTCTTCTCATCACCGCGGCCGCAGGCGCCGGCTTATATCTTGCCTTCCTCGGCCTCTTGACCATTCCCGCCCTCCAAGACCACGCCATATACCTTCACGGGGTCACTTTGACCTGGTTCAAAGATGTCAACGTCCCGGAACACTGGGGTTTCCTGCGGAACCAGGTCACACCCTTTCAGCTCAAAACCCCCGATGGCGAGACTCTGCATGCGTGGCATATCCTACCACTCGAGGCTTATCGCCGGAATGAAAAGGCATTAAGAGACGAGCCGGCAGGGCTTTGCCACGATATCACGAGCAGAGTCGGCTTCAAGCTCCTCACAGACGACCCGACAGCTCGGCTGGTACTCTATTTCCATGGGGCCGGGGGAACTCTGGGATCAGGCTGGCGACCGCAGAGCTACCGCGCCTTGTCTGCGAGTGCCCCAAACGTCCACATACTGGCCATTGACTACCGCGGTTTTGGTTCTAGTACTGGGTGGCCATCCGAGGACGGCCTTTTGACTGATGCCCTTACTCTCGCCGAGTTTGCACTCAAAACTGCAGGCATCCCCGCGGAAAGAACGGTCATATTTGCCCAATCCCTAGGCACTGCCGTCGGCATATCCCTCGCACACCATCTGGCCAAGCAATCTCCGCCCACGCTCTTCGCGGGCATGGTGCTCGTGGCCCCGTTTGCCAGCGTCGAGCTCCTTACTCAGACGTACAGGATTGCCGGGACCATCCCGCTCTTAGCTCCCGTGGCTCGCTGGCCCAAGGCCCTCGCTTGGTTCAATACCTTCATCCTCTGCAAATGGCCTTCGAAGGACAAGCTGGCCGACTTTGTCCGTGTGGCAGACGGCCTCAAACTCGCGGGCAGAACGACCAAGTACGACGTCACCATCATCCATGCAGAGGATGACTATGACATCCCCTGGGTGCACTCGGACGTTGTTTTCTGGCACGCAGTAAACGGGGCGCGAGAACCTGAAGCCGGATTGACCTTTGACGATCTCGAAGCCCTGAAGGACAGACAGAAATCAATCCTCGGGGCGGGCGGCTGGGAGGTCGAGTACACAGGAAGTGGTGGCGTTTTGCGAGAGCAGATTGTGAAGCACGGGCTGCATGATCGAATCATGAGTTATCCCGTGGTCAGTCTCGCTGTGGCCCGGGCGTTCCACGGTCAGGATTCTGCATAGATCACCGACAGAGGTGAAAAGGAAACCCGGCTTCTTGAAAGCCAGTGGCTGCGTTACATATAGAGAGTAGACTCTCTAGACAATCCGATTCTCGTTCACACTCGAATTACAAATCGTCATCGCATCCAAGCTTGCCCAAGGGCATGGCATTTGTAAGCCTATCTAGCTGCCACTCATCGAAACAGCAACGGGAATAGATTCGCGATCTCGGCTGTCATGGGTACGGAAGTCTCTACATGAGGATTATACAGCCAGAGCATAACTTGGAGAGATGGAGGGATTGCGATGGAGACGGAAAGGGAGCGATGAGAGAGGGCGAATGTAAAAAGGGAAGGGAAAGTGAGTAGACTAGAGCAGACCAGAATGAAGAGGGAGGGGAAATGAGGGAGAGGAGGGGGGGGAGAGAGAGGAGAGAGAACGAAGACGAGAATGCGTGGGCCCATGAACACGAAAGACCGCGCCCTCGGAGGACACATGTAGGATACATGTAATTAGACTCCTTTACACTGTGGGTGACCTCGTACCCCGGCTTCCTCGTATAGTGGTTAAGCGAGACTTCAACTTCTACTTATCCTTCAACTTCGCCCGCGTGGAGTGGACAGCAGCAGCGGAATGACTCGGTCTCATATGAAACACGAGTAGGCTACGTAGTGTGGTTCTGCAAGACACGACTGACGCAAGATCGCAATCGTACAGTATGCTGTCTACTCCCTGTATACTGTTCGCCTCGGTCCCGAGTCTTACGGTGACTCTCGAGTCTCGCTCTCTCTCACTCGCTCTCACTCGCTCACACTTACACCTTTCCTGACAGCCACACGCCGATACACCCGTCACTGGTTGTGGACGCCGACCGCGCAGATTTCCGATTCCGTAGTCAGCTCGAATCGACTTGGCCAGGTTCACATGACGAAGGAAACATGCCAGCGCACGGATGCGACAAGCGGAGAACAATGAGACGGACGCGAGCAGGTTCGTCCCTCACTCGGCAATTCCCGTTGCGGTTCCCATCAGATCTTTGCATGGCTTGCTGAGCGGGTCGTTTCTTTGGGGTGGGGATCCAGTTTCGACTGCCTTTCACGGCCTGGCAGATGCTTCCATGGTCCGACGAAATACCAATGGCGGAGCTAGTCGGTTGTTTGCCCTTAATATCGGACGTTCTTGACAAGGCGAGCGGAACGGGCGTGCTCGGGTGTAGCGAGCCCCAAGTGTGCAAGTGCCCGGAGGGTGGCCATGGAGATCCCCTCCTCCCAGACAAGGCAGGGCATTGCGTTTCCTGAGCATCGACGATACCCTCTCCTGTGGCGTCGTGTTGGGACCACTGTAGAGGGATCAGAGCACGGTCAGAATGGCCAAACACCCGCCAGTCTTGTCCAGGGATGGTCTGTTCAACAAAAACGGCTGTCCTGTCGTACGGCAGCTGCTGCCTCCTAATCCATCCTTGTCGAAATACCTGTCGTTCAAGAACTGGCGAAATACTGCGGCGGTCTCCCCAGATCCTGCTGCTGATGCTGCTGCTGCTGCTGCTGTTGCAGCTGTTGCCCCTGTGCCGGATTGACTTCTCCATTCGTACCACTTACCCCACCGATTCCATCACCAACACCAGCACCCACGATAGGATTCGGCAAGCTCTTACTCCGTCCGTGGAACGCTCCCAAGATATCGTCCTTATCCGCCTCGACATCCGGGTCCCGCTGACTGGGTCTCTGCCTCCGCTTCATCCGGACCCTCTCCCTCGCGAATTTCAACTGGTCCACCGTTCCCTTGAGATCCGCCGACGACCTCTCCGGGCTATCATCCTCGGTCCCCGTGGCCATTGCCGCCACCTTCCCTTCCGCCTCCTCGATCAAACTGTCGAGTTCTTTCTCCTCGGCCTGCAATTTCCGCAAGCGCTGACACTCCTCCTCCCACCAGAATAGCATGCCCACCAGATCTTTCTGCCTGTTGAGATTCAGCAGCGCCAGCTGATGCGGAAACCGCGGTCCAATCTTGAATGTGTCGACGCTGCCGTCCTCGCGCAGAATTTCATGTTTCTTGAGCTTGGCGTGCACTCGCTTGGAGACGCTCTCCGAGTCGACCACCCCGGCGACGTAGAAGGATCGCTCGTCCAGGGAGTACGGGTCCGCAGACGCGATCTGGTGCATGTAGCACATGTCGCGGCGGTAGCCTGTCAAGTCGACGTGATAAGAGGGCGTCGGGTCGGCGAAGAAGTTCGGCACCGCGGCGTTGGCGAAGCGCGTGAAGGAGAAGCCGAGAGAGCCGTTGCGTTTGCGATACATTTCTGAGGCGGTTGAGGTGCCGGGGAGGTTGAATAAGTCTAGACCGGGCGTGTAGGCCAAATCAAGCGAGAGGGCAGACAGTGCAAGCCCACGTTCCCTGATGACTATACTTGTGAAGCAGTCGTACGAAAGAAGGGTTCTCGAAGGGCTACATAACAAGAGAGCTTGGATATCATTCTGCAAATGGAGGTCAAGTCCAATTCCGCTGGGACGCGGGGTGGAGCGGGCGAGAATACAGGTAGACACTCCGCATCCAGTCGGAAGTATCATACACAGTACGAATTACTCCGTAGCGACTGAATTATTGTGTGGGTGGTAATTAATTCCGTTCTCGTACGGAGTACAACGTAGGAATCATCGGCCGCAGCGGAATCCCATCGTCGCTGATCGGGCACGTTGTCTGAATTCATGATCCCATTGGCCATCTGGACGGATGCCAATGCGACTGGATTAGTAGAGGGACACGTCACGACAGGCAGTACGGAGAACTGTGTAGGTGGCCAGTCATTGTGGCTAACTCGTAATAAATCATTTGAGTTGAAAGGTTGCAAGGGTAAACTGTACAGTGACGGATTGAAACAAGACCATCACCACGACGCCTCGTCGACCTGCCCCTCGAGTCCCCCGTGTCCCTCCACGCCCTCATTGCAGCTCGACGCGACGCCGCAAATGGCGACCTTTGATTCGCGGAGCCGAGTCGCAGCCGGCTGTAGCAGGAAAGGACACTTGGTGGACACCACTCAGTTCGCAGAATGACTCCATCAAGGGCACGCTCCAACAGGTCTAGAAGAGGTTCCGACACGATAGCTACCAATGTCTGAATTGCATCAAAGCTCTACGCCAGAGTATCTTTCTCGTGTCTTGCTTCGTAGCCCTCGTCTGCAATGCTCGATTTCCCAGGTACATACCGTCAGCCGGCTCGTCCACCATGACAGGGAGTAACAAATGACAGAGGAGAAGATGTCCCAGTTCAATCTAGTCCCCGCGTATGTGGTTACTGCGGAAATCCCCGGCCCCTTGCATCGACGCCTCTTCATGGCAGATCCGGCGAATTCGGGGCTCATGTCGAAAGGTGTCGTGGTAGGTGCGGCTCTCCGTCTTTGTACGGCTCGCCAGCCTCGTCCCTCGCCATATCATTGATCCACCTCTCATTCGGTTTCAGCAATTTTCCACCAGCGACCTTCGACGCCATGTACATCCAGCTGAGGGCATTTCCAACTGTGTGCTCTTCATCGCTGACATGCGTTCTTGCGTACTCACTCATCCGGTTGTAGAGGTCCTTGTCCGTGACAAGGTCGTACAGGTGCTTGGCAACAGATTCATGATCTCCTCTGGAGACGAGGTAGCCGCTCTTTCCATCTTCAACCTGGAGTGGAATGCCTCCAGCAAGAGTGGCAATGATTGGTTTGCCCTATGGCTTTGTCAGCACATTTTTTCAGTACACATCGGACTATACTCGCCTTGTGCAATGCTTCAGAGACCTTGACCTCGAACCCCTCTCTAGTTGACAGTTGAAACGCCACCGTGCATAACGACATGATCGCATTCAAGATCTGATCACTCGGTCCGAGTCTGACCACCACAATATCATCGACCAGGTCGGGATATTTCTCGAGGATCAGCGACATCGTCTGGTCATAGATTAGGGTGGCATCAGGATCGTCGATAGAACCGTGTCCACAAATCACCAACTGCTGTACTTGGTCTTGGGGTCTGTCTTTCACCATTTCTCGGAATCTGGCATAACTTTTGATGACATCGGGAATGCCTTTGGATGGATCAAATCGTGCGACTTGCGTGAAATATCCACGATCTGGATAGGCGAGCTGAGGTAGATTCTGGCTTTGGCAGACCTGTCGAAGGACATGTAAGTAGTACCGCAGATCCCATTCAGCCATGTGTTTGTTGAGACCGTCAAGCCTGCGTCTCTGATTAGCTCCTCGATCGACCTTGCGTCTCTGTAAAAGACTCACCAGTCCGTAGTCGCTGGGAGCCAGCCTAGTGACTCCTTGCGTACATCAGGCGGGACGAAGGATCTGACCGGGTGGCTGAGGAAAACGTCTGCATGCTGGATACTCGACCACATATTCCGCCATACGTGCTGGGCCGCGCTGCCTTCGTCCAACACCAGGTCGTCTCTGACTTCAATGTGGCTTCGAAAAATGATGGGTCGGTCTGGTGCAATTCTTTTAGCGATCGGGATGAGTTCTGGCATCTGAGGATCGTCGATCATGATGACATCCGCGCCGCCGTCCTGGGGCGCACTGAGTGGACCCGAGTCTCTCACCCAATATCGTTCCGCATTGTCAACAATCCATTCCTTGATCTTTCCAAGCTGTTCGTCGGTCGCACGGACGTCGGGAGGAACCACACCTTGTAGGATATTGTGGTTTGTTTTCGTGATTCGAAAGACGTCGGGCCTTGGCTTGGGCACAAACCTGTGAGGTGTTCAGTACGTGTTCTTCATTCTGTCAAGCAAGAAATGCGCACCACTCGACGTCCACGCCCTGCAGTCTCAAGAACCGGAGGAGTGCGTGGCGCATCAGAGCCACTCCGCCACCTTGTGGTGTGGCACTGAAAAAGACGATTCTGAGCTTGCGGTCGACCACATCCTTGATGTACTTCTGCGCGGCTCTCCACGTAGGCGCTCTAACAGAATTCTGGTAATCCTCCAAGGTAGTGAGATGGATCAGACCGCCTAGGTCGACTTGGACCTCGTTCTGGAAGCTGATTGACAACCGAGGCTGTTTCGTCGGAGCGTAGAGCCTGGCCAGTCAAACTTAGAAGGGACCAACAAGGACGAGGCGTAACTCACGCCAGGCATTTTCGAGCCGCCGAGTCGGCGGTCTCATCCACTCTCTGCGGTAAGTCCTTTCCCTTTTCTGACCGCAGCACCGGGTTCGCGGTCACCACCATAGGGACAACATCCAATTCGGACCACAGCCTCGAGCAGAGCGTCGGGCTCTCTCCGTCGAGTTCCGCGATAACTCCGGCACCCAGGATCTTGCACACGTGTTCTTGTCTATAGCGGTCTAGCTCGGCGATAACATGGTCTGCAACCCAATCGCAGTTCCCATTCTTGATATGCTCCTCCTCTTCTTCCAGCGACAAACGTTGTACAGAGAAGTCTATGCCGTAGGTACCATCGTGGATGGCGATTCCAATCTTGAGACATCGATCGCTTTCTCTTTCGATTGCGAGGCCGGCCCAGAATTCCTATGGCGTACAAATGTAAGCTAAAGCCGTCCCGACCCGAAGGTCGTGGTGATGTGACCGTCAATCGCATATGCTTTCTAGGGTGTCTCATGGGGCGTATCGAGGGGCGAAACACTCACGCTAATGCTGGTCCCGATGTCGATGCGGTCTGGAAGCTTTACGTTTGCCGCACGGGTCCGATGATACTGGGAACGATGTGCCTGGAAGTCATGGTGAACCTCCTTGCTAACGCTCATTCTTCGCCCTCCACGATCGCCCATGGCTGAGAATTGGTGCTGGATGTAGGTGGAACAAGAATGAGTGCCCCTCTCTCGGTCAGGTGATGAGAAAATGCTATGGTAGTCTAGTTGACCATATGAGTGGGCGCAACAATGTCGGATATTGCATGCAACGGTATTATTAGATGCTGCTCTCGTGGAGGTAAGGAGTGGAACAGAGCACACGTTATATAGTTCCAGTCCTCGTCGTGACAGAACTAAGTAAGTAAAAAACCCTCAGCTTAGCCACAATCGAGTGCCGCGTATAACAATTTCACCAGAGCTCAAAGGTGTAAAAGCAAGTTTAGATGAAATAAAAGACCGATCTACAGCAGAAGGTCAGGATGACGTCCAATTATGGTCACCAACCGCCACATGCGGAAGGGACCATGTGGACATCTGGGATACGTGGGAACCGCCTGCGATGATTCGCGCGTGCCTGAAAATGGTGTGCGTCGCTTGGGGTTGAGACTGTCGAAGCGAGGCTTATGCGAGCTCGACGTGAACATCACCTGATGTGTCAGGATACGGCGTGGAAGGCCAAGGTCGTCTAGATTAATGCCACGCGTGTCCGACGTGGCGGTGAGAAGTGAGAAGAGACAAGCTCGTGTCGGCTCAGATAATCGGTTTGCATTCTGCAGATACGAGGAGGTGAAGATCAAGGCTTTACTCGTACTCGTAGTTCTTGATCAGACGTGAGGCTGGAGCAGAAGTCTCGACTACGTGCCAATAGGAGCACGGAAGAACACGTCTCGGCGAGCCAGCCACCAATGAGGAGATCTTATTTGTCCTCCACAGCGAGATTCCGACTATCCCGAGTCCCACTGAACTTTATGGGAGCGTTGATCATGTCGTCAACGATGATGTAGACAGATGAGATGGGGCATCTCTGCACCTCGGCTCACAGATCGAGGTCCTACACGAAGTGCCAGGATCAACGCCTGGAAATACGGCACGGTACGCTACACGCTACTGTGGCACCTGTGTACAGGTGCTTTTGTATATGCCTTGCTATGGCACCCCGAAGAGTCTGAAGACAGGGCGATGCCGTTTTACATAAAGTGCGCGCTACGACATCCCCAAGTCCCAGCCTTTCGAGCCGGCTCAGGAACAACCATCAACCATCAGTGCTCGGCAAGTTTTGTATCTAAGGTTGGATCCTGTCACCCTGCCCGCCAGAAGAAAGGAATCAGGAAGGTAAGACAAAGGAGTCCCTCTGAACATGTTCATTCCCTTGGTACCAGTCTTCATGGTTACTTCCCACACACTAAATGTCGAACTGTCCACCTATTGCATGAACTGGACGATATTCCCAGTGACGAGGGCCAGAGTCAAGGCACTCTCTGACTATCAAGCGATCTCAATATCACTGTCATCACTGTCCTTGGTGTTTTTGCGCCGTTCCTGCTCCTTCCGGCCCTGTTCCAGCACCTTCCGCCTTTCGTCTCTCAACTTCCTTTGTGACACGACAAATGCTCCCAGTGGTGTGTCTTGCCACTGCACATCTTTCAGGAAAGCTTCCACTTCAGTCCTATCTTTGGGTGAGAAATTGATCTTGTTCCTCCGCTCTTCAATCCACTTGGCATTTGTCTCTGACTTTTGGACGAGTAGGGCGACGGCTTGGGTGAGCTTGGAGTTCCTATTCCCAGTGGATTTGGAAGCTGCCTTTATCCAGCGCTTAAGCAGGACTGTTACTGGTAGCTGTAGTTCAGGGTAGGTGATACTCTTGGTCCATAGCACAAAGAACTCCGAGAGGAGTTCAACAACTTGCTCGCCCACACCATCTTGATAGACCTTAGTCTTCAGATAGGATGTCGGTGCTCGGATATTGGAAGCAAAGTCCAGTGGTCGCAATGTCGCGGCTTTTGCAGGCTTCTTCATCTCTGCCGAGTTCAAAACCTCCAAGAGGGCAGCCGACAAGGGAATGTAGGTCTCCGTTGCTTGTGAAATGCGCAGAAGAGAGCGCATGAGCTGAAAGCGAAGTGGGAAGTAGGTGGAAGTGGGTATCAGTCGCATTGCGCCCAGCGTGACTTGTACGACTGGATAGATCAGAGGCCGGAGCTGTGAAGGCTTGCCATTCTGGGTCTCAAGCATCGAGTTGCAGTGAGTCGACAGAACCCGAGACCAGAAGTCTAGAGAGTGCACAAACTGCCAGTTGTAGATGGTCTTGTATGAGTCCTTTGTGGGTTTGGTGATATTGCCCCGGAGATGGATGGCTAGTTGCCGAATGAAAGTAAAGCCAGCTGTGTAGCTGACTTTCTGGTCAATACCCCAGATCTCGGCCGCAGAGTTCTTCATAAGGTTGATCCCTGCCAGGGTATGGATGGTCGTGTTCCGGCTCCCCTTCACAACGCCTTCATAGGTCGACTTTAGTACAGCTTCACGGATCCCAGCATCACCGATAACCATAAGCCGCCGGATGACCAAAAATGCCTGGATCCGAGTTGCCTCATCAGATGAATTGTCAGACCAAATGGATGCAACTGCTCTTGTGATGACTTTCAGGAACTTGCGAAATTGAAGTAGGTATGGTAAAAGTGGCTCGAAAGACTCCAACGTCAACCGCAGAGTCTTGGTGTCCGACAAGTGGCCCAGCAAGTAATGCAAGGATGAGGCGTGCGATTTGATCAATGGTGCTAGAGTCTTGAATTTCGGGGAGTCGGTGGGTATGCGCAGTTTCCCAGTAACAGCTTCTTTGACGGGGAGATGGTGCGATAGGACCTGCGGAACCTGCTTGAGGGCTGTCATCAACACTTCGTGGTACACCTCGGGGCTAGGTATGTTGTATTTGAAGACCTTGTCTTCTTCGTCGTCCGCGTGCGCCGCTGCACGAAATGCTAGGACAACTTGGCGGAGAGCTCTGATAGAGAATTGTTCGGCCAAGGAAGACTTCCACTTCTCCACCATGACCAAGGTCACGTCGTCGGGAGCATCAGTGTCCTCAACATCACCACCCTTGGTTTTCTGCTTCTTTGCCGGTGGTTCGTTGTCACTCAGATCATCTACCGCCGCCAGGTCATCGTCTTTGTCGAATTCCAGCAGCTCGGCATCGTTCTCCATCAGATATTTGTAGAACTCGGGATCTTTCTCAGCGAGGGCGGCCATGTTGATCCCGGCTTCATCGCCATCTTCTTCGTCACCTTCTGTGTCTGCGCCTTCTTCGTCGTCGGCGAGATTATTTCTCTTGCGTTTGACACCATTGCTCTTCGGTACTGTCTTGGTCTCGGGTTCGGGTATGTCCAATGCTTCTTGGAAGAAGTCATCCTCATTCATGTCCGCCTGCTCCTGACCATTAGCCTCAGCATCGGACTCCCCATCTTCTTCCGCCGCTTTTGATCTCTTCTCCACTCTTTGTTTCTTTTTTGCCTTCTGCTGGTGTCGCTGTTTGATCTTCGCGAACTCTTTTCTCCGTTCAATTGTTCCCTTGAGTTGCTTTTTTTCGAACTTCTTTGTCGACTTGGCCTGTTTTCCCATTGCGACTGCTTGTTGGAGGGCGCGGCGTGAAGGCTCGTGCTTGTGGTGGCAGGGGACGAACAAGGCGGAGTCAGTGTTTCCTTGCGTTGACTGAAATCCCAAGTTCAGAAAAAATCACAAGCGGGCCGAAGTTTTGCCGGAGACGCTTCCACTATCCCCGCACAGCCTCGTCGTCTCGGATCAGTGGCAGCCTTGCGACAATCGACTTCCGGGCACAAAACACACGTACGTCGTACTCGTCGAATGGATCTGAGCCGGATTCATTTATTCACGGAAGCGGAGCAGCCTGCCCAGTCTATTAGTGGACTGCGTACAACGGAAACCACGGCTTACCTCAACGATGTATACCACCACCTCCCCCCGCCCACCCTCAAACTACAACCCAGTTCAAGCCTACGCACCCACGCCCTACGGCGCTTTCCCATCCTCGCACCCACTGTCCGCACGCATATCCCTCGATGAAGAAGTGAAGCTATCCTCTACACCGGCAGAGCGCGACCTGATCGACTCTCTTGCCGAGATTTACAGTATCATCCGCACACTCGACGGACTCGAGAAAGCGTATATCAAAGACGCACTCCCCGAAAGCGAATATGCGGACCTTTGTAATAAGCTGTTGAAGCAGTATCGGAGCATTCTGCAGGACGAGAGTGTGGCGCGGGAGTTTGGAGATCTCGACGCTTTCTGCGAGAGATGGGAGGTTGAATGTCCGCGAGCGAAGGAGAGATTAAGAGTCGGGCTGAATACTGTAGATACCATCACAGTCTCACAACAGTCAGCCTCGGGCCCGGGGGCTGGGGGCGCACCCGCACCCAAGGCCAACCTCTCCGGCGCTCTCATTCTCACCGCGACCGAGAACTTCATAACATTCCTCGACGCCTTACGTCTAAACATGGTTTCCAAGACATCGCTGCACCCTCTGCTGTCCGATGTCATACAGAGCGTAAACAAAGTCACAGATCAAGACTTTGAACATCGCGGGAAGATAATCCAATGGTTGATTACATTGAATCAGATGAAGACGAGTGAGGAGCTGAGTGAAGAGCAAGCTAGGGATCTAGCGTTCGACATGGAGCAGGCATACAACGGATTCAAGGCGATCATACAGTGAAGAAAATCGGGCGGTTGAGGCAGGTACAGTAGTCAATTGACCGCTGTGCCTCTCTGTGCCGTGACCTTGAGGCGAACACTTTCTGCACATTAGTTCCTTCGCGCCTCTACATTCGACCCGTCTTTCCAGTTTCGTCACTTCGAACTCAATATCTACAGCATGGCAGCAGCGTTGAAACAGCTAAGTTACCTGGCTCTGTTGGACTCCGGCCAGAATTCCGACTTCGTCAACGAGTGCCACGGCGCCGAGTTCAAGGTCCACCAAGCCATTTTCTGTTCACAATCGACCATGCTGGAAAGAGCAGCCGACGGGAACTTCAGAGTGAGTATCCGCATATGGCGCCCGCTCTGGCTTTGGGCTCTGACTGACCTAGCCTTAGGAAGCTAGAGAGGGGCGGATCAGACAGACAGAGGAGGACCCGCGCATCCTAAGCCGCGTCCCGGTCTTCTTGTACACCAACGACTACGACGCACTCACCATCCCGGGATACCTGCAGACTGCAATCGCATCCTCCGAGCGCCACATGGCTGATACCGGACTACACGGCCAAAGTTACCCTGTTGTGAAAGAACTCCCGGTGCATGTACTGGTGTTCGAGTACGCAGACATGCTCGACATCGAGCCACTGAAGAGACTTGCATCCGGTAAATTCCTACTTGATGCTCCTTCCCTCTGCGATGAACCGACATTCGCAAAACCACTGAGCTGATATACGAGTGGACGCAGGACGACGACCAGTATCTGCGCTTGCCTGTGGTGAGGATCTGTGTTTCACATTTGGGCGACCAGATCTTCGGCTCTGAAACGATGGACGTCGTTCGCGTCCACGAACCCAACGGTGTGAGACGTTATCTGCGATGAACATCCACCGCCATTTGGTTTCGACAGTGACTAGCTGAAGTAGCGCCAATGCGGCGGGCGACGGCGACAGAAGTTCAAGTGAGCTACGGATTCTCCAGCTGATGCCGTGGCCATTACTGTCGTTACGATGGCTAAAACTGAGGAATCCATTGCCTAGCCAGCTCAGTCAGTCAGTCAGTCAGTCAATGACCGACGAGAGGAAGACCCTAGTACTGTACTGTACTTATGGAGACATCATCAGACAAATTCCGATACTTCCCTCCTAAATCCAAGATTATGCACAATTAGTGTACCATTCTGTGGAAAGTCCCTTGCACTTCCCATTGAAAATCATGCCCAATTCTTTAGTATGTCCAGTTCGAGTGCATCACCGTCCTGGTTTGGTCTAAACAGCTGCGTGTACACTCTTATGAGTCTCCGCTTACTCCATATCTTTTGGTCTTGATCCCCATGTACAGAGTATTCGTCGTCGGTACGGGTGTCACCCGGGGTATATACTTCAGGTGAACAGTCAGGTATGTCTCTAGGGAACAAGTTATTGTAAGTTACTAATCCAGTCCGAGTGGACTGGGTGGTTAGCGGTAGTTCTCCAGATCCCGATTAGATGTCCATCTCTCTGTGGTCCACACACACTCACAAACACAAACACAAACGTAAACATATATACTCGTACACATATAATCGCATACATATAATCGCATACATATACTCGCACACAGATGTATAGGTACATATATATATATATATATATATGTCTGTACAGAGCAAATAAATAGTTATAAGAACCTTCACTTTCACTCCAAGACAAATGAGGGAGGGACGCGAGATGCCGTCACAAATCAACGTATTCAATGATGTCTGGGTTCCATAGTATTTATTCATTTCTTCGTGAGTCTACTTCATCCCTGCCGATAACCTGTCAGATGACAGTCGTTACAACAGAAATCGGAACCCTCTCGCAGCGGCTTCACCCGGGATAGCTCCCTCTTGAACGGTGATGTCGTGTTTATGCGCGCCGCCTCGTGGCCCCCTGTTAATCGCACCCTCAACCCACTCGCCTCGATCCAATTTCTTGTTCAGCCGCATCAAGATCAACCGCAGCACTGTCGCCGCGCAGATGGCGATGAACGCCGTGGCCGAGCAGACGCTCATGGCCAAGACGTATCTCGGCCCGTCGCTCTTCGGGAACATATAACTCGCGTAGATGGAGCTAGTGTTGCTGACGGCATTGATCGCGGCGAGCGCAGCCGCACGTTTCGCGGGCGGGCGGGGCATCGTGTTGGAGATCCAGCCCAGCGCCACGACGTAGCCGGTGTACACGCCGGGAACCATCAGCATGATGGCCACGTATCTAGGTGCGGTGGCGGTGGTGGCGGCTGCGAGGATAAAACTCCCCACGGCGACGTAGAGAGGCACAGTGACGTGGAAATAGCGCTCGCCGGTACGATCGGCATGCCAGGCGTTAAGGAATGCGGTGATGACGCACAGCACGTAGGGCGGTGCCGTGAGCAGGAGGGATTCGATATCGCCGTACCCGAGGGTTTGGACGACGGTGGGGAAGAAGTTCGTCACGGACCCAGAGGCCACGATGCAGAAGAGCATGAGCATCTAGACGACACGAGAGTCAGCGTTGGTGGGGGGTTGACCGGGGAGTTAGGAGCTAGAGACATACCATGATCCACATCTTGATGTCCTTGACCGCAAGCTTCAATCCATGGAAGAAAGTCTGCTGCTTGCTGTCCACCCAATCGTCTTCTCCGATGTCTTCGTCCAGCCGCCACACAGCAAGTTCTTTCTCCTCCGGTGATAACCAAGGGGTAGTTCTCGGAAAGTTGGGCAACACGAAGATGGCGCCAAAGGCAATGGCAATGGTAATGCATCCCTCGATGATGAAGAGCCATCTCCAAGCTCGGAGACCTGCGGTCCCGTCCATGTTTTTCGTGATGCCTGCCGCGATGAGACCCGAGAAGGCACCCGAGATGAGCGATCCGGAGTAGAGCATCGCCGTTCTGAAGCCGAGTTCTTTTCTGGTATACCACGAACTGAGAAAATATAGACAACCAGGAAAGTATGCCGATTCGACAAAACCTAGACAGAATCGAACAGCAATAAGACCGCCAAAGGACTGGACGCCGGCAGTCGCGGCGGATATGGTGCCCCAAATGATCATGGCGGTGGGGAGGTAAAGCCGCGGTTTTCCGATTTTGTTGAGGAACAAGTTGGATGGAATCTGCATGAGCAGGTAGCCGACGAAGAGAATGCTGACCGCGGTCTGATACTGGGTGCCGTGGAGCTTCAGCTCGTCCTCGAGGCCAGCGAGTCTGGCTGCCGCGATGTTGTTTCGATCGAGATAGTTCAAAATATACCTGCAGAGGCGGTCAATTTTCTCATCGAGAGCACATACCAACGCGGAACGTACATGATGATAATGGTAGGTATGAGTCGGAAATCAATCTTTCGTACCAAAGCCCTCTCCGCGATCCGTCGCTCCTCTGGACTGAGCGACTTGACATACGGAGGAGGTTCGCGCCCCACGGTCACAGGAGCTTCGACATACTCGGCAGCATCGAGCTTCACTCTATTCGATGAACTCCGATCGGAGTCAGGGACGTAGTCCTGGTGGACGTCGTGGGAGGCCATCATGAGAAAGAGTCGGGCCTTCTGTCCTCGTTGTTGAGACGCAATGGACGGCAACAAGCTTGTAGTCGAATTTCTCCTGTGAAGTTGAGGGCATCAACCTGGCAAGGAAATTAAGAAAACACGAAGCAATCACGTCAGGATGGGCAGCACCTTTTACCTTCGCTACCGATGGCCACACGTCCAGCAACACGGAACTCACATTCGGTGCGATGTGTATGTAACTCCAGCATTTCTCCACTAAGAAACGCTGGACGGGCACCAAAAGTCGCCATCGTCTCCATGACGCCTGTAACATTGTGGGTGAAGTCAGTTGTCGAGCTGCTCGACAATGCCCACAGGTGCCCGCTGAAAATCTCGCTACACCAATGACGACACTACCGGGTAATTGAGAGCTACATCGGCGTGGAAAGTTGTGTCGATCTCAGCCATCTCCGTGGGCCCCTCCGTCTCCGGATATTCCTCGCACTCGAGGGTCAGTGGGATGCCGAAACCCCCACGGCGGGCGTTCAGGCGGGGAGTGGCCATAAGTGGCGGTGGGGGGGTTTGAGAGTGCCTAAGAGGACCTGGACACGCAGGGCGAGAGTCGACTTCTGTGGATCTGGAATGGCATGTTGACAGAGAAGAACAGTTGCAGATGGCCAGGAGATGTGCAAAATATGTTACATCAGAAGGAAAGTCGAACCGGCGGAAGACGTGGCAGACGGCATGAAAGCTTGGTTCTTCGTCGCTTCCATGTAAGCCAAGGAAGCTTCGCCATGATGCAAAGACCCTTGAGGATACGGAGTACAGTGGCCATGCAGCATACTGTGTACGGTGACAGGCTAGTCCCAGGTTTCCAGTTGCCCTCCGAGGCCTGAACCACCGTGCAGCTGCGAGGTTGCACTGGAAAGTTATGGCCCCTACAAGCACCGGAGGCGCGAGACCGACTCGGACTATGTAGAGCAAGTAGAGGGAGCGACGGACTCGGACAAAGCGCGGGCAAGGATCCAAGGAGCAGTCCTGGCTGACGCAGCCTTCCTCGCAACGGGACTCCCCCCATGCCTTCCAGAGTACTCCGTACAGGGGCTGTCTCTAATTCTGTTGAACTCTTCTGACCTCATAGCGGTTTACAGCGGCGACGTTGCTCATTGTTGTACATGTGCACCGCCGCACGGCTGTATACTTGCTGTAAACGATTTGGTATACGCCGTGATTCGACATCGATAGGAATACAAGCCACCATGGTCAGTGACTGGCTTGTTGTTGTGTTGTACGACAGGAGCGGCCAGGACAGGATAACAGAGCGAAGCGTTTAACACCATGTTATCATATAAAAAGCGAAACAGTGACGACCCAGACTCCAGCGTAGTCGACATTTCCATTTTTCATCATGCTAGCTTTTACTTCTTTGCCGTCGGCTTCGATCATGTACAGTAGAGTTTGGGGCATCTCAAAGGACATGCTGCGTTCCACGTGCCAGTCAAATATATGGCTCCTTGCAGATTCCCACAGCAATCACACACGGAGTCCCGGTTCCACAGATTCTCAACGCCGCGCCATGATTAGGATACATAAGAAAAGTCCGCCACGGTATTAGCTACTGCCGCCGCTCGTGCTCCCCGCATTCCTGACTGACACCCGTCTGCCAACGACCGCTTCCCTGATGCTCCCAGCTTCCGAGGCGGTCGGGGTAGCATCATCGGTCATAACACTGCGATACATGGATGATGCACGACTCAGCGCAGGAGCTAACGCTCCACCCGCTTCCGGCGGGTCGTTGAACGGTGACTCCTCGATCGGGCTAACCGGTGCCGAGTCTGAGAATGGGTTTCTGATCGTGGATGGGCTGGGTGGTTCGGGTGACGCGCCAGCAGCAACCGATCGATAAGGTGGTGGTGCTGTTGCCGTAGAAGACGGCCGAGGAATGGGATCCGCAGCGATGGTGGTAACGGCAGGTATTGATCGTTGTGGGCTAGGAGGCACGGCGTGCGTTACGGCATCTCGATAGGGAGGAGCCACTTCGTCAATACTGTGCAAGCTTGGTTCGGCAGTGTGGTTGCTGCCCCGAGACGCTGTGCCTGAGCGGCTGAGGACGCTGGGATCTCGGCTGCGAAGGCTGTTCGAGCTGGAGAAACGACCGCCCATGAGCAACTCTGCGTCGAACGAAAATGCTCGCAGATGTCTCGTCCACTTCTTCTTTCCTGTTTTTGATGGTCGCTTCTCCGACACCTCTGCACCAGCCCGTTTCCTTCTCCGCCTGACACAAAAGAAAAACAACAGTATCGCGGCAATGGCTGCGACGACTATCGGGACTGCAACGGCGGCTTTGAGTGCAGGTGAGCAGGAAAGGCTGTTACAAGAAGACTTCTCCGAAACGGTGACGGGGCCGTCGGTGGCACTGCTTGCCGCATTGGTCGCTGTGTTGGTTGCGTGACTGTTCAGACTGAGGGTTGCATCGTCTGAAACTCCTGGCGTTGGGGATGCGGAGGTAGCAAAAGTCGTCGAAGGCGGTGGTGTCGAGCCGGCATCACCAGAGACGCCTGAGCTCGACGCAGGGGAATCTGATGTTGAAGCTTGGGTGGCAGCCGTGCCACTGTTGAATCGACCGCCGGTTGACTCGGCAAACTCGCTGGACATGGACGACAAAATGCTGTCCAGACTCGCCGTGTTGAACGTCTGGGACGCTCCCGTGAAGCCAGCGCCTTCAGGCATATCGAATGTTGAATCTAAAGAGAATGTCGGGTTGAACGATTGGGTCAATGAAGGAGCGAACGAGTGTGAGGGTGAGATAGGTTGCAGATCTCGACGGGCGACACGAGGCCCCAGGGGCGGGAACAGTTGAAGGTTAGGGAGATCCAGAGTGAAGTCGACCCCGCGAGAGGCGAGGGTCACGACATGTAAAGGAACAGAGGTTCGGAGGGAAGGGTGGCAGGACAAGACCCCGAGGGATTCGAGGTCAGCGGACGGACTCCAATCGTGGCGAGCGAAAGAGAGTTTGTCGGTCGATTCAGTAGAGTAGTCCGGGCGCAGCGTGGCCCGGCTCAGCACCTTTTTTCAGGCTCACGGGCTCAGCGTCCGCTTGGAAAAAGGGCCAGAAGAGGATGCGTCACGGTATGTTGCAGGTTGCAGGAATATAATTGAAGGGTGTCGCTGGAGGATGAGATACGAGGTCCGGGATCAGCGAGGCGCAGTGGGCGATAGACTGTTGGTTGCGGCGAGAGAGAGGGCGACGGCTGGCAAGAAGGATCCTTTAACGGGGCTGACCGATGGATCATCAAGGCGGAATAGCGAAGAGGAGGCGCGCAGGCACGCAGGTACTTGACCAGGCACTAACTGCACCAAGCGAGGAGCGAGAAACATGGAGCATGGAGCGTGAAGCGTGAGGCCCTCGATTGGCACGTCCTTCTCCTGCCCAGACACACGAACGTGCGGCGAATCAAGGAATCTCCTGGGTCTCGCATTGGGCGCGAGTCCTTGTTAGAGGCCCTTGGCTCAGCGGGTGCTGAGGCCTGGATTGGTGGAGGGGCTCTCAGGGTCACCGGGCTAGTCCTCTTCCACTTTTAGCGCCTCTAAAGCACATCTTGGCAGCCGCCATTCCGTTCGAGGCCAGCGGACATCCGAACGCCATCTTCCCACATCTCCCACTTGGCTTCACCTCCATTCTTTCTTCTTCGCAACTTGCTGCAGCTCGCCTATCGCACCACTCCAGCCCCAACCCCGACAGCCGAATCAGGCCTGTCGCTCGGTGGCTCTGCGAACTCGTAATCTCTAGCTGCAGCCCGCAGCCTTGGCCATCAACCGCCTTGTGGCCGCTCAAACCGCCACAGGAGCTGCAAATCGACGGTGAGGTCTGCACTTGGGACATGAGCGTACGAGTATGACTCAAAATTTCATACTTGTACTAATAGGTCCCAAAGCAAGTGGCGCAATCAGACCACCAGGAAACTCCGTGCGCTGCCGTCTTCAGACACATATCGCACCTCGTTTGGGTAAAAACAATATCGGGCAGAATTGCCTGCCTGCACGTCTGCACGTTGGACCAAGGTTGCAACATGCACCCAGCGCACCCAGCGCACCCAGCGCCCGTCTTTTGGGCCTGGCAGGGGTCGGCTAGAACTCGCGCCAAAGCGCAATCAAGTGCCGGAACGGAATCTATTAAAAGCTGCAGATGGCGTCAAATCTTCTTGTCCGCTGCCCGTTGAAGATCAGCTCACTCCACTTGCGGCACGTGGCAGCTGCTTCATTGGCCGCAAGTCACATGACGCGGAGCTTGTAAGTTGCGACTGGCCGACCTCCGACTCAACGGCCTGAGACATGCTGCAACACCGTTCATCATCACTTCCAACGCCTGCCACCTTTTCATTCCCGCATTAACCAGATCCAGCACCTCAACTCATGAAAGGGCCTGCCATGGACATGCTGATACACCGCCTGAAGGCGCTGTCTGGCTTTGGGCCGAGCAATGACGTACATTTCACCGCTAGTGTGGAAGGGGCGCCGACTCGAAATCCTGCAGGAGACGACCAGCGCTTTTCGTTGTTCACTGACCTTTCGCTGATTTCAAGGATCTTCAGGTCTTGCATGCGACCCGGATAAAAGGTCCCGGCGAGATCTTAGTTCGTACCTCGTACTGGCAGCATCCGAGTTACAGTACGAGTACGGAGTACTCGTAGGTACAGAGTACCGAGTCCTCGAAGCAAAGACGGTACGTCGATCGAGTACACAGTATGGACTACTCATATGTTGCATTGCATGTTCACCCGCATGTGTTAATCTCAATTCATAGAGTCTGGCGATATTGGAGTACGGGGAATTTGGACTCTGACCAGCCACCCTGCAACGGACATTCTTCACGGCCGGGCGAGCCGGAGAGCCAGTACGGAGTATTTGGCGAAGAACAGCCCAAGCCTTGCTTAGCACCTGGGGCGCCTCACAGGGCAGGTAGTCGGATCGGCTGACCCGCACGTGATTTCCACCACTATCACCATTGGTTAGGGGGCACTTTCAATCTCATGCTGGTCACATTGAAGAGCGGACACAGCGATTTGAACACATGTCGGTGGGTTTTCATCAAATGCTTGTGTTTACAAGCCAACGGTCCGAGGTGCCTATGCAGCCGACTTTGACCCTCGCTGCTGATATTGAGCAGGCCCGATGGATTCAGGAGCTATTCCATGGAACATGACGCGGAAGTCCCAAGTCCTGTCAACGGAGTACGTGCCTCCAGAAATAGGTGCTAGTCTTCTCGGAAAGGATTGGCCTCTCCGCAGGGAGTCCAGCTCGTTCATCCTTTACGCATAAATGCGCAGTGGGAGGCGCTACGTCCACACTTCGATGATGTCGAAGCCCCGGCCACAGCGCATTGCGAGCCATCCCAACATATGTGGACGTTTGAATGATTGACTTAGACTTGAGCGAAGCCGAAGCCCGCTCCAAGAGGTTACCTACCACTAACAATAGCAGACGACGCGCGAATAATCCACCTGGTGCAGGACAACGAGCCACGCCATCTTCCGCAGCCCACGGCAAACAGGCCACTCTGGCTCGTCCACACTCAGCATGCTCCAGAGTTGGTGCAATGGCATGATCGGCTTTGGTTGCTACGACTATTCCAGCAGGACGGAAATAGAGAACAAGAGGGAGTCGCCTCAGTTCTTGCGAAGCCGTTCAATACCATTCATCTCACCAAGTTATTCCTGTGAAAACTTGATGTCATGGAAAGATCGTGCATTGATATCCGCGCAGCCAATGCTGTCAGGGCCACATTCGCTGCACCGTTTCCGCTTTCTGTACATTTCACTGCCCAAGGGATCAAGGTGCTGTGTCAACCTCTATTCTCCACCGTTTCTTTCCTCGCTCCACTAGATGCGAAGAGAGAAGGTGGTAGCAGGCATATGAATAGTAGCCGTCTTCGATGTCCCTTATCGGAGTTCGCTTTGGATTGCCTCCTTTGGCCAGAGAAAGATCCTGGTCCACCCTACACCTCTCACTTATATGGCGACGATCGAAGTCCGGTAGAATGGTACCGTCCTTTGTCCGATCGACAGATCATTTAAATCCAGGCGGCACGCTCGGCCGTAATGTCTTGAGGCCCAACTTGACCAAGGAGATGCGTGCCAGAGTCGCCTCCTGCTGCTCACGGGTTCCTGTTCTTTCGCTCCTTTCTCTTTTCCATTACTTGTGGCCGTGGTAGCGAGTAATGCCTGGGATCGGCACATCTATATGCAGTCTATTCAAGCTCAACAATCAACCGTGAACGTGAGCTTGTAAATGAAAACTTTGCCCAGCCAGTCAATGAGCTGTCTGACTCTCGGTCGCGGGTTGAGAGATACCTTTGTGTGTCAGAAGACACTTCTCAGAGCGCCGTCGATCCGTATCTGCGACAAACCAGCCCTCACGACAGATCTTGAGGTGTTCTGGGAACCCTCATCCTAGACGGCGCACCCTCACGATTGCCCATGGAGCCGGGTGCTGCCTCGCTTAGACTGAATGCCAGGAGCACAGCTGTACCCTGCGTTAACAACTGGTCCCTCACGACAAAGGCTCTTTCAATCTCTTAAAATCCTTTTCTGGAATACACAATCTGGATTCTTGTCATCGCCCTCCCAAACCAATATCTTTTACGTTGGCAGATCTACTATCATCCCCCACATGATTGAGCAGTATGTCCCGGCACATGGCTGAGGCCATCGAAGGAAAATGGATTAAGTTTGCCTTGGCACCATCTTGGGTAGCCCGTATAACAGCCTTCTCCTCTATCCGGCCGAAGTACTCCATACTATCACCGTATTAGATCCGTATCAGATTGATATGAAAGACAGCACAGTCCGCGCCCAGACTCCAGCATGTATGGGTCCCAAGCAATAAGACGAAAGACTCAAATCGAGCTGTCCCGACGAAGTCTAAATTGCCGAATAAGCTGTTTCGGCTGAGTCTAGGGTTCAAGCTACAAGCTAGCGCGTGTGGTCGTCTTCTTGAATCAACGCAAGGCTGAGTCGACAAGCGAATCTGTTCTTTCGGACACTCACTGCCTCGTATTGTCATCGACGATAAGATCCGCATCAGGACCTGCGTTTACCACGCCTCAAAACGTGGTGTGCATGCATATTCCCCAGCAAGGCGTGGATCCCTCGGGTCTGGGATTTTGCACCCTCTGCTACAGTTACAGGACATACGCCCATGCCCTTCCGCTAGGGCGCCATCGCAGCCGCTTTCTTGCTTTCCCGGGTGTCGTTTACGGTCGAGGATTCACCTCGGCGGCATTATTGCTTTGGCCATTCTGCCCGCAAGGCATGTGGGACAAACACTTGTATACAAACCTTCGGCTTACCGCCAGTATGCCAGTGGCCTCTCTCAGGCTTCGCTAAGCGTCCAAGTCGGAGGTCCTAGGTTTGCTGGCACTGGAGAACGAACCTCTTTGGAACCGGCTCTCTAACTTCTCGTCGAATGTTGTCTTCCCCGTACGCTTTCTATGGACACCCACTCTCCACTTTGATAGTCCTGTCGATCGCCTTCTGCAAAGCACAGCGCCAGCCGGTCGATTCAATTCCCCTTCAGAACGGGACACTAGCTTCGTCAGAAACCTAGTCTGAGAGTCATTGTCTGGACCGTCCTCGGCGCATCATTGTCAGCAATGATTGCGATTCCTCTGAATCGACCGCTTGTCTTAATGAATAGACAACTGCTCGCCAACAACGGTGCCACTTTCCCTCCAATCAAGAGCAAGTGTCTCCCAGTCGGCAACTCTGCTTCGTAACACACGATGCGCATTCTACAGTTCCGACTACTAGGTAGTCAAACCGCCAGTGTGGCAAGGGTGCTCAACCACAGCCTGGTGTCTGACGTCCCCCGTCCTAGGGCCACCATCTTCACAGTCGGGCTTTCCGCAGCTTTGCTCTAACTACCTCGCAACGGTGTACACAAAGCTATTGACGCCGGTCATATTCCTCGTGGGAGACATCTTCAGCGGAACAGAGTGACCTTCATGTCCCGCGAGTTCTGGGAATGGGTGAGTGAGCGGACTTTGGGGTTCGAATCCCACAACCTATGTCCGTTCTGCATCTTTGGGGATACTAACTCATCCTGACCACGACTCAGTACAACTATCTACAGGGACGCGGAGGGCATCCCCCGAGTAAGACCTAGATTACCTTGGATTCTGGTCTCGGTTTGCGCCCGAAGCGAAGACATCGTCCTGAGGTGCAATCGGTAAAGGTACACCAGTTCCCAGACGGAGCGAGTCTACCACACCTGCCCCTTGATGGGCAAACCCGTCTGGTCGAGTTTCTGTCATCCGGATCTCCTTGTCAAAGAAGGGTCCACATTCTCTTTGGATTGCCCAAAAGACTGGGAATCCGAGCACTTTATGCTGGCATATGGACCTCTTAGCTTGTATGCTTGTTATGAATGCCGAGGGCTCGCGGTTCATGACACTTCTTGTCTGACTAGTACGTCTCGATGACGAATTCGACGGTCAATCTGTTCGGAGATTAATTTGAAGGTACCTAGTCCCGCGAACGTTGGTCAACGAAGCAAGTCTTATGAACATTTACTCTCCTGCTAGGACGTACTGCCATGGTACCAGAGCGGCCAGGCTGATCTTACTTCTCGCTCTCAGGGTCGACTGGAGGCGTCATGACTCTTGAAATGGAGGGCTTTGCCGACCTCAATGACGTCCGTTTCGACACGTGGGACCAAGACACCTCGAAACCAAACTTCAAATATATTATCTCGCAGCAGGGCCTAACCGCCGATGTTATCTGCGAAGAGACGAGCACCACGCCAATCACGCGTGCCGTCCTCCACGTACGCAACGTCGATCGTGCTGCCCCTCCGAGGGTGGAGCTACGGGAATTCAAATGCGAGTGTCCCCCAGTGAGTCAAACCATTTCTGTTCACCTATTCCATGATCGAAGACAAGACTTGATATGGCAAGGCCCATGATGGATTGTCTTGACTTGGGCTACCACATCTCTGTAGTTACGAGCGTAGCCATAGCCGCCGCCCCAGCCCAGCTAGCTCTACTATTTGAAGCTAACAACTCTCCGGAGGAATGTATGCCAACAAGATCACCACCGCCACATTCTCATCCGCGGCCCTGTCCGTGTGACCCCAGACGGTCGACTCGAAAGGATCCGTCATCCATGTGAGTCGAATACGGAGCGCCAAACACGTACGCCTCGAACGAGTCTTCCCAAATATAACCTATCTGATCTCTGACGCCGTATATCTCCAACACGACCGTGCTGCAATACACAAGGCATCGGACTGTCTCTTTCATATCTCCAACCTCCAAGCGATCCCGCTGTCGACGACAGAGTCTTCAACGAGACTGCGGTCGCGATTTCGGAGGTATTCCAGCTCGCGACTAGGACGGCTGCCACCGGGGTAATTTAACACACACGCATGCCTGGCTGGGGAGGCGAGAGACCTCCTCCCATACCATCCCGCCATCCCATCACGACATCACAGCGTCTAGTATCATGAGAATACGTCGCACTTGCATGTCCATCCGAGCGAAGGTTGAACCTGGATCTGGACCTCCAATAAAATCGAAATCGACGCCCTAAAACTGATTCTCCTCCACGTATATCATTTAGGACAACAAGCTCGTCGACAACAAGCTCGCCGACTCCCTGTACGCCATCATCCTGTCCAACCAGACGACGGACGACCTTGTTTTCTCGCGCCATGACTATCTCGCTCCGACGGATCGTCAAGTTCGAGGCCGCCGATTCCATCTGGGGATGCGACCCCACCCGGCGTGTCAGGTACAACGGCACTGCCGCCCATCGTGCTAGACAGCTGACTCCCGCATCTCCTGATCATCCCGATCCTCAACCTAGGCGCGACGTATGTGATCGTGGGGATCCGGACGCGCAACGACCACGACCACGACCACCTCGTCACGGACTTTGACGCCATCAATCACGTTTCTGCTAGATCACCGTGGCGACCCAAGGCGGCGACTCGCCGGTCCAATTGCCCGCGAGGAGTCTCGTCGAGGAGATGACTCGGGCTAGCTAGAGACCTCAAGACCTTGGCGGTTAACCTGGCGTTTGATGTCAAGGACGGACTGTACGGAGTACACATACAGCGGTAATTAATCACTCAGTCCTTCCATGAAGTCGTCTAGTAAAACACGCTTTGTGGTCCCTCTGCCGCTCTATGCAGCCAATACAGTAATGCCCAAGAAATACACTCAATTTCGTGGAACATGGCGCAAACAGGGTAACAATTTTCCAATGCTTCAAAGAGAACGTCGTTGCATATACCTGGTATTAGTTTAGCGCTACGTGTTAATAGGCGAATTCAAGGGATAGACTGTAGTACAGCAGTTAATTAATTACTCAGTCCTTCCATGGAGTCGTCAAATGAAACCTACCGCTCACTAATACTAATGCAAAGGGTATGAGGCGGCGGCGCGTCTCCTTTGCCCCATGAGGATCAGAAAGTTGTTAACCTCTTTACTTACACCCGATGTTCTAATTAGGTGATTTTTTGGGGGGGGAGAATATCTTCTTATGTGCCTTTTAGTATTGGCTGTGGAGTGTAGAGCTGCCGGGGACTACGGAGTACATGGCGTGTGTACATCTCGTTCGACGGCTCCAGGCAAAGACTGTAGTAATTAACAGCAACAGCGGCCGGAGGGGGGCATTCTGCTGTTGGTTCACAGGGAGAGTACATAGTAGTAGCAAGACCGCCGCGGCGGCCGTCGTTCGTGGTGGAGGAGCACGGTATGTACATTATGTAAAGTGATTGTATCGTGCGTACACCGTAATCGATCGCAATCAATCGTAAATCACAACGATGGTGGTGAGGTGGAGCGAGGCGGGTGAATCGAGTCCCTACGAAACTCCGTCGGAGTTCGTATTTCATCTCCTTTCATTTGATGCCAATATCATGCCCATGTCGTGCAAGGGTTCACGAGATACTGTATCTTAAGAATTGATGGTGGACCGATTCACCCGTGTTTAGTACTGTATGGCATAGGAGAATAGAAGCCGTCCACGGGTGTCATGGGCCTATTACATACGGGCCGCTTGCACACGAGAATCGTCTCCCCTTGTAGCATCTCCGCTTTGACGCCTGCCCGATATACAGGACGCAGTAACCAGCATCCTGATTAGAACTTCACCTTCAGGTTTTAACACTCGACCTACCTCCAGCCCCCTGTGCTGAAAAAGGTAGTTCGGCGTGGCTTTGTTTTCGTCGGTATGCTGTACGAGCCGGGGCGCGGGAAGCTGCGGATGCACATATCAGGGGAGATCGAGCCTACAGAAGAAGGGGCTACATCCTGGAAGACAGAAGACACGTACCATGGCGTTAAGCACTCTGCCAGGATAGCTACTATAACTTAAAAGCCCTCACAGGGTATCACACATGGTATCAAGCGATGCTCTGGACTCCTTTGGTTATCAACAATGTTCTTTCTCAAGTCATGCCTGGCTGAATCTTGTTGGATGGCAGCCAGCCTCGGAGAAAGATACTTCGGTCGAATAATTCTACCACCGTCCGCTGATGTCAACAGACTATTACGCTGCCACCACACCCTTCCTTTGAAAGGCGTAAGCATCAACCTAACGGCAACAACACCCCCACTCCTTATATACATCCATACCACTCCTCATACCTCACTTCACGAATAGCTCGGCTTCGTACCTAGTGGCACAGGTGGCGGCGCTACGCCCATTCCCCCAATACTACCATGCATATTCGCCGGCTTTTTCGGGGGTGGCGGAGGCGGCGGTTTCCGAGATATCGAGGCTGCAACCTCTGGACTCTGTTGTGGAGGTACAACCGAGTTTGCTTGCATCGGCTGCTGCCCGACGTACGCATTTCCGTTGCCTCCGTTGGGCCCATTCTCTGACGTAGGTGACGGGGAACTATGTTTCTCGAGAAACGAATTCAATCGGCCGGTGACATTATACTTCTTGTTCCATTCGTTGGCGCGATTGCCAGCAGCATCGATCGAGTCTTTGTGACGTTCCCGGAATGAATTCGCGGTGCGTACGGCCGATGCGGCGTCTGCGGCGGAGACGGTGGATGGATCTTTGTATGCGGTTTGGGCCGTGCGCATGGCGGACTGCTTTTCGGCCCATGTTGTTCCTTGGCCCTGTGGTTGTGGTTGTGGCTGCGTTGGCTGAGTGTAGCTCGGTTGAACCGGGGGCGGCGGTGACTGGACGGGTGTGACGAAGGGAGGCGTAACATTCTGTTGGCTGCTTGCACTTGCACTTGAGCTCATGCGGGCGAAGCGGGCTTGGAGTTCAGAGAGCTGGTCTGTTGCCGGCTGGGCGTTCGTGGGCGGACTACTGGGCTGGATTGTTTGACTCTGCTCGTTGCGCCAGGGATTTGAGGGCTGGCCAGACCCAATACCAAGGGCCGGGACTGACACACCCGAGTGTCCCAATCTATTGACGGCAGCTTGGTTTATCCCGTAGCCTGGACTGGATTGCGCTGGGTGGGCAGCGGGAGTCGACTCGTAGGCTGGCGGAGGGGGGGAGTTGGTCACGGCCGGAGGAGTGGGTGTAGAAAATGTAGGCTGTCGTGAAGGTAGCCTTGGTGGTACCCTCGGTTGCTGTCTGACCGGTCCTGGTTGCGCGGCAGCGGGACTTCTATCCACGTCACGGTGGACAGGGGGCGGCGGTAGATGATCTGTCTTCAGTCCTGTTCGATCCGCCCGATAGGGCAACGGAGGGCCGGCTTTTCTGTTCTGCTCTCCGATCTCTTCATCTGTAGGTCCGCTGGCTACTGTGTTCGCGGTTGATATCTGGTCCGGACGCAAAGGAGCACCCCAGCCTTCAGTTTGAGGTGTGATCTCGTTCGGCAGCGCAGCTCCGCCGTGGTAGTTGACATTCTTTGGAGGCGGCCCAAACGAGGCTGGGTCTTTGAGACTAGACAGAGGTCGGGACACGTGAACGTCTTCTTGCTTGTGGGGATCTGCTTTCTTGCCCATCCACCCGGCCTGCTCGACAGTTCAGCATTTCTGTGTGTTTTGGCAGACAGTCAGCCACTGACCACTTGATTGATGCCCTTAAAGTCGCCTCTCCAAGACTCTTTGCCGCCATCCCGGCCCTTAGGATGCCAGCCCTCCTTCACAATCCCTCGAAAGCCGCTCATCGTGGGGAGATCCGGGAATGAGAGCTCGTGTGCTCCTCAGCCGTGCCTTGTCCTCGGCAAGGAGAGTAACGTTCGAATCAGTAAGGTTGGGGCTAGAGCAAGACCAGGCTCACGAACTCGGTGTTCTGAAATTGGTGGCGAATATTGCAATAAGTTGCCATGAAGAGCAACGGGCAGTGACGGGGTGAGTGGGCGCAGTGGTGGCAGGTCGATTTGGTCGCTGACGTCGCACGCCAAGCCCGACATGGATGCCAAGCCCGGAGCCGTGCGCTTTCCCTATTGTGGTCTAGTTTCAATCCGCCTCGATGCAGTGACTGGGACCCCCTTTTTGTGTGGCAGCCTTGCAAGAAACTTTGAAGGGTGTGAACAAGGCACAGAACGGTCCATAGATTCAGGGAAAGGAACTAATCAATTTCCCACACAGCGCAGAACAGCGTGCGTGCCTCCTTCCCAGCGTTTCACCAAAAACTGGAGATGGGAGAAGACATCCCGCTCTTCCAGACTAAATCACATCCAACCAGTCCAACACTAAGGAGGCAGCTGCTTGACCCCCCCCTCCCATGACTGCCTCCGGTCACTCTTCCCAACTGAGAGTCTCCCTCGATTAGAAATTCTGGACTGAAGTCCGATGCTGAAGTCCCTCTGCTGGCCCCAATGTCCAAGCCAAGATCAACATGTATGCTCTTTGATTGCCTCCCTACAACCATCCTCCAGGTGATTGTTGCCATGCGCCGGACACCTTACTTGAAACCCAATTCATGAATGAAATGTTATGCAACAACAAGCTTTTTTAAATGTACATAGGTCCTCGCGGTCGAGAGGTGCCTCCGCCGAATGATGTCATGCTGGTGTCTAGCGACAAGAACAATGCTGTGCTGCGCATGTGCTGCAAGGGTCGTAGAGTTCGTGAATGTTTATCAGTAAACGCGTATCTTTGACCACTTCTGCCACGGCGTCACCCACGTCAAGAAGTCATACTCTTGAAGCCGCCTTGCCCGACGACTCTGCCGCGGCACTAGAAAAAGTGGGTATAGACCTTGGACGACTCGTGAACCTCCATCTCCTGTCACCAGTCAGCTGAAGCATACGCCTCCGTCAATGAATGTACTTGCCATCTTGAAGGTGTTGAGTTCCTCCTTGATCTGCTGTGCGAGCATCGGAGTCAACCGATTGCAGGTCGCTATCTCGCCGCGGCGATCATATTCCCCACTCGGCCAAGTGTCGTGGAACTGAATCCGAGGGCTGAAGGAAATGTTGCGAATCAGGGTCTGGGGTGTCTCGGGGGTATTCTTCGAGTCTAGGCTGCCAAATCTATCCATGGTGAAATAGTCATCAGGGTCATTGCTCTCTTGAATTGTAATCGAGTCTGTCCGACGATGCCCAGACCGAGGAGGGTCGTCGGCGGGAGTGCTGGGCGCACTGGATTTAGGTGAGTCGTTGATGTGCGGGATTTGTGGCAAGTTGAAATCGGGAACCTTGAAGTCGTAGGCTTTCGCCTTCGGGGATGGCTGATTGGAGTCTGTCCGCTTGAGAATTCCTTTCTTGACGGCAGCAAGAACCTCGGCACGTTCTTTTTCCGTGCCAACAATACTGCGTCGCGAGCGTGTATCACTCGATACAGTGCCGCTATCAAAGGAGAGCTTTGTGTCGACTGAATTTTGTTCCAGCTTGGGGAAACCAGTCCCACCTCCTGGTTGGTCACGAGGATTGACGTTGACGTTGACGTTTTCTCTTTCCGCCTCGACAGTAACCATAGACACCTGAGCTAAGCTCGCTTCGTTGACAGGAGCATCAGCTGCGGGCACGCCGACCACAGACTTGGGCCGGAACAGACCGACAAGAGATCGAGTGCCTTTCTTCACCCCTTTGCCCATTTTACGGAGCATCACCGAGGCTGAAGAAGCCGTGGAGGATATCGATAGATTGTCCGTCGAGCCGGTAAAGAAGTTGCCTTGACCCGAGTAGATGCTCTCGCCCAATCCCGCGGCCTCTTGCTTCTCTGCAATACGAGCTTGCTCTGGCTCGAGCTCATCTTCATATTTTGAGTGCCTCTTGGAGGTCGTGGCCGCATCTCTGTTGGCCACGCTCTTTTCATGGTTGTGTTGGGCAGTTGCTTTCCTAAGCTCTGCCGCACTGCCGAATGAGAAGGCCCTCCGCAACTTCGATTTCGATTTCTTGGCATCCTTCTTGCTGACGGCCGCGAGCTGTTCGGCAGCCAAGCTGGTTGTGGACATTGCCGGCGGGGGTAACAAAGCCGGTGCTATTGGGCGGTTTTCATCGGTGTTGTCGCTTGTCATGTTGACCGGTCGGGATAGGGGGGATGGCTGCCGAATGCTGGAATCTCCGGGTCGAGAAGGAGCCGCAAGTCTGGGTTCTTGTTTTGGAGAGGACGCCGGGCTACCAGCTGCTGGGGACTGAGCCTGCAAATGGTCAGAAACAGGTGAACCAAAGCGTTTCGAGATACTCACCGATCCAGGCCTGGAAGATCGAGTCGATTTCGAGGAATTGATGCTGTCCGAGCTCGAGGTTTGTCTGTGGTGACTCGGTCGTTGAACAGGCGTTGTCGAAGCTGGGGTCGGTTGTGCCGAAGCAAGGAACGTGTTTGGATGAGGTGATGCCGTTTCCTGAGGATCGGTTGAGTGGTTCAGGCCTGCCGTTTGAATGCTCCCAAAACTGCGTCTTCGATATCGTGCAGCCAGTTCGGGTGGCTGCGGTCGGGCTAACTGAATATCATCCGCACTGGCTTTCTTGTTCTGCACGGCGTTGCCATACGTAGAACTTCGGTGTGATTGTTGAGAGCTAGAGCTTAGCGAGGGTGTGCTGTTGGACTGGAGAGGATGATTGTAGAGCGAGCCAACGGCAGCCATGCCTGAGCCTGACGGCGAAGCAGAACCCCCCGCAACTCGGTTCAGACCGATTTCCCCTTCGCTTCGTCGAACGGTTCGTCGATAACGATCAGGAGATGGCTTGGATGAGGTGGGATTTGATTGAGGAGGCGCCATCAAGGGGCCAGAGGTGATGATAGGCAGACCTAGCGAGAGACGATTTCCAGCATCGATTCGTGGAAGGCCCGTTGGTGAGGTAGGTTGTGAGGAAGGGGAAGCACCAGGGTGAGGAGCTTTTGGGGACGAGATGGATCTACCAGAGTTGAGTGCGAGAGGACGAGTGTTGATGGAGGGCAACTGCGGTGTAGATGTAAAGGCATAAGGGGCGATGGGGCCACTGGCGGGCACGCCCCTATAGCCAGTTGCTGGCATGTTATATCGAGTCGGCTGCTGGTGGTTCCTCATCTGGCTGTGCGAGGCTTGTGAGGGATAGCCCCCAGAGGAAGAGGGCCGCCCTAGCATTGTGACCGTTGTTGTCTGAGGAGGCAGCGTCTGCACCAAAGCAGCCATTTTTCAGATTTTCTTATCAGCCGTTTCAGCACCAGGTGCCGCTCGTTGATGCAACCTTCGTGTTTCGATAAGTTCGTTTCGGCGTTGGGGCTCGAAGGAGAATCTCTGATCTTTCAGGAAGAGCTTAACTGCAGGCCCGAGTCAATATGTCACCATCACCAAGATTCCATTCGATCTGGAAGCGGTGTGAGATACACACCTTGATGTGGTGATGTTTTTCAAAGTGTACAACCAAGTCCCGGCATCACCACATGTGAGTACCTGACTGATTGGCTTGAGACACACGGGTGGTGGCGTGAAGTGGTGGTCGAGTTAAGCGGCGACTGAGCGAAACGAAGGTGGATTAAAGGATGTGAGTGGAATTGTCGTCGACCGTCCAAGATGAAGCGAAGGGCTGGAAGAACTTGTCTTCCAAGGAACCGGGCAGGAAGCAAACCCCAGCAGCTAAGAAACGAATGTTACAGCCGCGGCGCGTGTACAAGGTATCGTGTCAGGGACGAGGCGAGAAGACGAAGACCGTGACAACAACGGCGAAGAGACGGCGTCGAGGGGTGCAGATAGAAGGAAAACTGTCGGGAGTGATGAATGAATTGAGAGGGAAGGAAGTTCCTGGTGCAGTTTGGCAGCGATTGATTGAGGACTGACAATTGGCAATTGGTGCGGAAGGAGAAGGCCCAAGCACAGCGCTCAGGAGAAACACCAGCGAGAGTGGTCGATGCACCAGCAGGAGGGGAGCGTTCTTGCGATGGGTCTAAAGTCTAGTGCAGATTCTTGTTAGTGCGCGTCCAAGGGTGACGGCGGTCCTGGCCTCTTGACTCCTCTTGACTCTGGAGGGAACACGCGTTCTGCCCGTCCTCCCGCGACTGCATGCAGCGCTCCAGTTAAGGTTAGGCGCAAGCCTTCGACGGCCTGGCGCCCGCACTTCCCTGCTGTCGTACCCTTGAACCTTGGAGCCTGGCCCTTACTCGCAGGCCTGGAATGCACCCGGCTTCAAGAATTTACGCATGTCACCTCGATGCGCAACAGACGCACCGAGTCTCTGCGATTGGCAGCAACCATGAGAGATGCGAGCGAGTACACCCTTCATTCCAACCAATGGTCCTCATCACTTTAATGTTTCGGGTGATGCCCGCTCGTTAGATGGGCCGACACACAAATCTACAGAGGCTGACACCAGTGCAGCGGCACCAGGCCTGTTTCTTACTGGCGGCTTTGAGCCGTCGTCAGTCACGGAGCACCACGGACTCTCACAGCTGGTCCTCGCGTACTGTGAATATAGATATCAGCAGTGGTTGGCAAGTCCGTACTACTGCGTTGTCCTTGCAGTCAGGCGGAGACCCTCGCACGGAGAGCTTCGAATGGGTCACATGAGGCTGACAGTCTGATATGTCTTCGGCCTCCTTCCCCAGACAGGAGCCCACAAATAGAGAAATAAGTTGGCATGCTGTCTTGAGCACTGGCATGATAATCACCTGGCTCCGTAACATTATGGTATGATCAAGCCAATGCATGGATTTTACCCTCGGCAATTTCCGCAGAGTAAAGCATGAACCTCCTTGACACCTCGTTTGGCAGTTGTGAACCATGGATCTTTCGCCCAAAGAACAGGGGCAGCATCAACACTACCTATTTATGTTGCGTGCATATCGGACGCAGCTTAATAGGCTGAGCAACCGAACAACCGAAACAAGTTCAATGCTGATCACGCTTAGAGTGAGCGGGCCAGGCTCTTCTTGGTTAAGCCGGGCCCCGCACATATCACGCCTACAGATCGTTCCCGTCCTGCTGCGCATCCTCCAGATTGCACGTCGAAAAGAGATGCGTCGGCGGATTAGGGACGCTCACGTTTCCGAACTGCTAGAGTTGTGCAATTGCTATCCTGCTTGCAGGGACCCGGAGCAGGCACTTCTGACAGTTATACACCTCGTACAAGGATACGATCGTGCCTGATGCTGCTCGCCCTGGACTCTGACTCGGCCGCTCTGTGTCCCCAACGCTGCCGCCTCACACGGGCCCCAGGACGACAGATACGAGTTTTGTTCCAAGCAGGAAGCCCCCGGGACACCGCTCCACTCCGGCGTTGCGTCACTGGTGCTAGAAATCTTACGGAACTTTCTCACCAACCACGGCCGGGCGTGAAACTGCCATCTTCTGCTCGTGATGGAGTTGAAAGAGCTGCTTCGAGAATCGTGCTTCGTCATCTGCGCTGAGAGGCTGTGCCACCGTGCACGGGTCCCGATAAATGAACCGCCAGTAGAATATTGTGCAACGGTCATCTACTGGGTAGCTGCACCTCTCCACTGAGGTCGGAGGTTCCAGATCAATTACACCAATGCCACATGCACACCGACTTTGACTCCGCGATCCCCTCTCACATGCCACACTTCGGCATCAGGCCATGTTGCATGCAGTTACCGAAAGCTGCAGAACGCATGTTTCAAGATCCTTTGAGCTAGCAAATGAGCCCACCCAGGCCAGCAATGAAAAACTTACGTGCCCAGCTCTGACCTTCCCGGACCCCGCTTGACTCAAACCTTGCATTTCGATGGGCTTCTGTTGCCCCATGATTCTATATCGCCGACACGGGGCACTCGGGCAACGACCACACGTCCAACGAACTCAAAATCACGGTCTTCTTCCACTCGCGGCTTCACTTTCAGGCCGGAAAAGAGGGATCATGTGTGCGCGGCCCCCTGCGACATCGTCCATGCAGCTTTCAGGCACCGAACGCTTATGGCCAACCGATTTGTCCGCACAAGTCTTTGCACGATGCCCCGCGAGGAAGGAGGTGTGCGAAGAGGAGGGCGACATTGGTCTGCGCCTGGCCAGAACCTCTCAACACCTAGGTTGAACTGATCATGGTTCTTCTTGTTGCGACTGGACTGATTCGCTGGGAGAATTGTCCTCCCCCAACTCCGAAGCAATGTTCATCCTGTGATTGTCCGACGAGGACAATGCCTTTGTAGAGTGCGGAGGGAAGCATTCTGTTGGGATAGTGACGCAGACGTGCAGAAAAACTCTAGCTTTCGATTCGGATGTCTTTATTTTCCGATACTTTTTGCTTTCACCGTTTGGAGTGGGTGTGCCGCTCCGATTATGAAGTCCGCGGTTTGCCACTGCCAATTTTCCATCGTTCTCGACTGGTCGCCCCCGAATGGTACGGAAGAGAAGGTCATGACTTCTATGGCAGGTATTTCAGTCCATACAAGTGCTTTATTTGTCGTTTTCGGCACCTCTATTGAGCAATCACCACCAACGGCAGAGTCGACGAACCCCGGCATTTCATGGCAACCAATCTTTGATGACGGGAGAACTGCATTCGCAGAACCGTGCCAAGTGAGGAAGTGCTTACGGCACTCCCAATCACCACAGCGCTGCGACTGAGGCTTGACAACTCTTCAATGCCTAGCAACGCAAGATGCTCGGTGAGAGAGTCTTTTGCTGGGGGAGGGTTGAGTTTCGCATTATTGCTGTCAAGGCAAGCGGGAGTATGAAGTTTATCCAGGATCATGCTGGTGCTTCTCCCGGGCATGAAGATCTCGCTAGCCGTGCTCCGTCCGCTCCCGCTTTGGCAAAATCTCAGCCCTAGTGCCTGTTTCCCCCGGGTCTTGGACAGTCGTCAGCAGAGATCTATTCACCATGGATCAAATGATGTTGCTGCTGATTTTCGAGACCTCGTCAGGAACAGCCTTGCAAGGACTCGAGCTTGGACTTCATCCGGGACACTTAGTTCGCTACATCCTTGCAGCGACATTATCAGCGACCTCAAGGAAATTTGTGAGAATGAAGACAATCCTCGTGCAATGAATGAGAAGACTGCTCTCCTCCGCCAACAATCGATCCGTGACCCTCAGTCAAGAATCCTTCAATCTGCATATCAGAAGCTTATTTCCGTCCCCAGCCACCTGCTCGATAACCCCAATGTATTGACCGCCACATGGATCTGGATTTCTGGGCAAACTGGATATTCCTGGTTTACTCCACAATTATGATCTCCTCAAGAATTGGCAACACCAAGATCAGGCCAGAAAGGACAAACACGACCGCAAAGTAGAAAATCAACAATCCATCTATCCTCCACGATGGTAGCCAATTTCGATCTGCCCACGCTGGGTGTAGGCGATCTCAAACACAACGGCCGACCACATCGACGAGCCCGCCGATGCCCTGCACAACGCGTCTTTCTGCTGTGCAACGAAAGAGCAGGTGATCGCCTTAGACAGTGGTCGGGTTACAAGCACCGCCCGCTCGAGTCGTTGCGGAAGAAATTTCTTCAGGCCTTGATTCTTCGGTGTCTTGATTGCCTGGCTGCCAGCATCGCTTCCAAAACCAGGGTTTGGTAAGTTGCGGCATGACTGACCGCCTGTTGAGCATCGGCGGACGGTCACACAACATCATCAGGGACCCGGTGAAGCGGACCTGTTCCACTCGCCTGTTGTAGGAGGGACGTCCGAAGGGAACCCATGATGGAACTGTCACATCGCACGACAAAACCCGACAACGAGGTGACGAACGCGTGCCTGGGGTGATACTCAGGAAGAAGTCCCAGGGAAACACTCTGACACGCAGTCCTGTCAAGTCGCTCCCGAGGCTTGTGCCCAGGTCACCCACGAGAGACATCGTTTTTGGGGCCATCAGACAAAGCTGCCAAGCGCGTCTCTGTTTCAGATCTCATGATAACGTTTCTTCACTGGCTAAATTTCGCAGATGACGGAGGCCTACCGTCGAGCATGGTGATGGGTCTGGCACAGCCCGTCTCTCATTATGAATGGCATTGACCTTCGCTGCGGCCGTGTTTAATGGCAAAGCACGAGACCGGCAGTAGATGGGTGACAGACGCGTGATTGGGTGAGTGAGGTGGGCGGTGCGGGGGCATCCTGCTTACGTACACAGCCCGTTAGGCTCGCCGTCCAAGCTTTTCGCCGCCCGTGGTGCCAATTCACTGATTCGACTAGCCCCTCTTGGGGCATATCGCGAACAAACCGCTCTGGTGGGAGGCTGAGGGCTACGCGGAAAGAAACCGACCATGTAACTGTTCGCGGTTCTAACCTAGAACAGATAGACTCTGTACAGGTCTTGTCGATCATCAAGATCAAGGCGACTCATATAAGAAGAGGCCATCGCTGTGCTTCTCAAAACCCACTCTAAGGGCCCAGGCAATCATACAATAATTCATCCTCCATCCACAAGATATTCTCCCTTTTTGCAACGTTGAAGCTGTTTCCGTACCCTTTTCCCGAGAGCTCTTTTATCAATCCTTCCTCAAGCACTTCTTGCTATGCCTATCATAAGTAGGCTGGTCAAGGGCGTTGGCGCAGGCATCGGTGCGGCATCGGAGGCAATCGCCGACCACAGAGAGAAGAAGGCAGCCAGAGAGCGCGGAGTGTCACCCATCCCCGCAGTCCAACATGAGACTGGGGAGAGCTCGCACCTAGCAGCTCCGACACTTCACCCCCCACATTCATCCGAAAAGAAAAGCCGTTCTGACGGGGAAGACGACGACGATTCTTCGAGTATCAGCAGTTCTGACTTGGCCAACGACAATGCCGAATGGGCCCTTGACGAAGCTGCAGAAGAGCTCGAGCAGCCTCCGCCATCATACGAAGAAGCAGCCGCTACACCGGCTTCAGACCAAGACGTCGCGAGAGCTTTCGTGGACAAGCACCGATTCACACCTTCGCCCTCCCTGAATATCAAACCACTACCATGCCCGGTCATACTCCCGCAGCGCCGGCCAAAAGACAAAAGTCGAGGATTTGTGCGCGCCTACGCCCCCTTACTCGGCGAGTGTGCGGGCATTGACCAGGGGACCTTTATCGACTTCATCAACGACCTTGACCGCGCCTCAAAAGCCAGCCCGGTCTTCGACGTGATCAATCTGGCTTGCTTCGCCGCGGGATTGGTACCAAACCCCATTGCCATGGCCGTGACCATCGCTGTCCAAGTGGCCAGTCAGACTGCAAAGGAGATCCAATCCCGCCAGCGCAGAAACACCTACCTCGATCAGATCAACAACTCTCTTTTCAAGCCACGTGGACTGTACTGCATGATCATGACCTTCAAACCGGACAGCCCGCATGAGCCGCTGCTCGGAATAGACCTCTCGAACATCAGCGCTGCAGACCAAGCTCTCGTCAAAGCAACCTCGATCCCGGACTCCGAGCTGAAACAAAAGCTCGCCAAACTCCGCCTCACCTCGGGCGTCAGCAAGGGCGAGCTTTCCCTTCCCGAGCCCGCGCCTCTGATCTACCCTGCCCTCGACGCGGCTGCACTGTCGGCGCTCAACTCGACAGAGGATTCCTCCGGCGGTGCCAAGAGCACTCTACCACAACGCACCCAAGACAAGCTCCGCGCGACGGGCGGGTTCTTGGCAAGCTATCTCGACCGTCGCGCTCAGGCAAGCTACGCCGGGATGCACCCGGACAGCAGGCTGGTGGCGCCTTCTCCGGATAAGACATTCGCCTCTCGATTCAGCGATCCGAATCACCCGGCCAACTCGGGAACCATTCTCGGTCTCCTGACTGGTGGGCATTTTGACCCCAAAGCCAAGAGACGAGGGCGGAGAGCTCAGAAAAGGGCACACAAGAGAGGATACGAACTGAGCCCGGCAGACGTCAAAAATGCGGAGATGGGCCGACTACCGAAGCGAAGACAGGGCGTAATCAGGAAGGTACTGCACAAGGACATCCTGTACTTGACGGTGGTCAACCTTCCGAGCGAGGCGGAGATGAGGGAGATCATGGGCGAGCTAGAACGGGTCAAGAGTGGAGGCAGTCAGAGCGAGGTGAGGTCTTGAACGGTCTCGGCGAGCGAAGGATGGGTTATTAATGTAGCTCCGAGGATACATATTGAGTTACGGCTGTAATTGGATGAGCACTTAGGGTCACTGATTGTGCGCCGTGACTTGTTTCGAGCGTGTTTGGCTGGAGAGACACCTGATAGTTAGTTACCTAAGGGTACAGAGGGTACAGAGGGTACCTGGTATGTAAATAATACGGTGCCCTCTAGCAAAGGGCGTAATTACCTGGTAAATACCGGTGAGGACGCTCTTGGCGCTGACGTAGCAGCCCTCGGGTACCCTTCCCACTCTCACTTGACACCTGGAATGTTCCCGGGAATTGTTTCTAATTAATACAGGAAGCTGAGAGTCGACCACAATCCTCTACCAGTTACGGGTTGAACAGTTGGAAGACCCCGTTGATGTCGAACTTCCCCCGCTGAACAAGATAGCCATCGTCATAATTCTCTGGAGGCTCTGCAGGAAACTTCCCCGTCTCTGGGACTACCAGCTCATATACCGCGTTCATGCCGTCCAAGATGAGGGCAACCTCGTACTCAACATGGTACCATATTCTCCCATCTGGTGAAGTGAGAGATTCCAAATTGTCGCTCAAGGAGAAAGGGATGAAGAAAATCAGCGGATGAGGCATAGGATGAATGTCGATGCCCGGCCTGTCGACCCAGACATCATCATCGCGAATCGTGTCACTCCGATAGAGGTGTTCCACAAATTCCCAACCGCCGTCTTTCTCCTCTTCCCGAAAGAGGCCTCTCCAGCCTCGGTGTCGAACTTGATGCTGCACTGGAATACAGTCCCGGGGCCTGACAAAGAACTTTGTGACCCTCAGTGCTCTTCTCACTCCATCATGGGGATCCCTGTGAACTGGCTGGACATCATCGATGCCGTTCCGCATATGGGCGATATTCTTGTCCCATGCCATACAGTACCCCCTGGTGATGATCCGCTTGGTAATGAAGGCCTTATCAATCAAAAGAAGGAGAGACCCTGAAGCAACGGTGGTTGAGGATCGGCTTTGCGCGTCATTCGGGACACGCACTGAAATCGGACGACCAAAAACTGCTTCACCTTCATCACTGCAGAAGGCCTGGATCTGGTCGGTGAGGTACGGGCTCAAGCTTCCTCCCCCGACAAGCAGGAGTTCAATCCGGGGGGATGCGATACCATCGTCCTCATAGCGCCGCGCTAGCTCTCGCAATGCCGTCATTATCATGTTTCTCAAAGAGTCGAGTGAAGGGCCGAAGATCGTCCGCATATCGTCGAGGTCGAGAACGACCTTGTTACCGCCGGGCATGCGGTAGCTTTCCATGTCCGGTAACCCAGGCACACTCAACCCAAGCGATTCCGAGCCATTGAAAAATTTCTTGGCTTCCTCGAACTTTTCTTCCAGAGTTCGGCGGAACTCGTATTCTGTCATTTGGCTATCCTTGCCCCTCAAGCTCCTCTTGAAAAAGTTCTTATCCACAATCCCGCGCAGCACGAGATTCACACATTTCTTGTTCACGGCTAAGCCACCACACCACTTTGTGGCTCCGGCACACATTTCTTGCACCCGGAACGGACTTGTCCCCACATTGGCCCAGCCTTCCAGGTCAGAAGACCCACCGCCGACGTCGAGGATTAGCGTGCAATCCGCTTCTGGGAGAACACCGTGCCGTTCAAACGACGACTGGAAGTGATGTGCGAGGGCCGCGGTGGGCTCTCCCACGACGAAGGGATTTGGGATCCCCGCAGCTTTAACGGCTGCGAGAATCATTTCAATCTCAGAAGGGTTGGTTTTGACGGGCAGTGGAATCGCTGTCTCGACTTCAAGTTCATGGAAATCCGCCTCAGGGTATGCACGTCGAATACGGCCGAGGACAAATTGGTAGGCGTGGCGAAGGAAATCCGAGTACAGACCGAGGAGTTCGTGGACCGACGTCTCCTCGATTTGGGTAATCACAGGTGAAAGCGGCGGCAGGTGACCCTTGCTTCTCATCTCTGCCATGTATTTGCGGACTCTGTATCTTTCGGCTTCCTGACTTGTGGTGTCTTCGCCGTCGTCGAAGAGTAGGAGCTTCAAGTTCTTAATCACGTCGTCCCGAGAGATGATCCCGGTATCGACCGCGTAATTGACCTGCATCCCCCAGAGCTGCAGCCAATGTGGTTGACTCGGATCCGAAGGAGGTCTGTACGCAAGCTGTGTCGGGACATGAGCATCACTGTGCTCCCAGGTGATGGGTTGGAAGCTCATCATCATGTAGTCTTGACACAGGCGAGGCTGCATATTCTCGCCAGCCCGAAAGACCCTGTACATGGCCTTTCCATACGCAGAGCCCGCGTCTAACGTGATCAGAATCTTTTGAATGCGAGGCACCGACAGCGGCGGAGATGATGGCGCGACCATGCTTGGTTGGTGGTACCGGCGGAGGTACCGTTGTGATTGCACTCTGCTACGGCCAGCTGGTGTGCATACAACATTCCTTCGCCGGCAAGCATCACAGCCTCTGGACCCAGCAGAATTGGTGCCCGAGCATCTGTACTACCGGGGGGTTAGTATACAACACACGGGAAAGGAAAGACACGTACATGCTTATCGCGACAAAGTTGACAAACCGATCCCGCCATATCGACGATGAAGCTCGAACATGGGGTTTGCAGGCCTGTCTTTTCTGTATCCCAAAGGGAGAACAGCTCTGTGATGGGAGAGGGAGGGCTGTCGATCAAATGGAGTGCGAAAACAAGTCGTAGAGGAGGTCTGTTGCCCGGCTACAATCTCGGTTGTCGTATTGGCTACGACCATGTCGAGCTGAGACGCGGCGGACAAGGGTCACTCTTCCGCTCTATTCTATTGCATTCCAGCCTGGCCAGTTTCACCGCTTCCCCGAAGCATGGTGGCGTCCGTGGTCACGCAGCCTCTCTCACCATCATTCTCCTGGACCAAGAAGCAGGGGCGCGGGCTGAACCTTGCACTCCGCCTTTCCGCTTCGCTTCCCTCCTGTTCTTAATTTCCCACCTACGCTTTTCAAATTCTTCCCTTAATACATTCCCAGGTTTCCCTCACTCAGGACTACTTCTTCCTCACGCAGGACTAATTCTTCGCAGTGTCCTCAACCTCTGTCCAGTGGTCGACTTCGAGGACTTCGCTTCGTTAACAATGGCTGGCGGCCCCCACCGACGCTGGAGCGTCGAGGAAAACCTCATCCTTGAGGCCCTTGTTGACGCCAACAAGGAAAAGATATTGGGGAAACGTGGAGAGCTTGCGCGTATGATTTACGAGAGGCTGAATGAATGTGCTCCGGACGACAACTCTCGTACCGTCGAAAAGGTCAGGTACAAGATGGATCATTACATCAACAAGTTGAAACGAGGGCGCCGCACATCTCGAGCGAAACCAACGTCGCCTGGACTTGTTGGAGAACAGATAAGGCTACGGGACAATACCCACCTCGACTCCGTCACTACTTGTCCTTCCAGCCGTCGCCGTCAAGTACCCAAGGTTGTCATGAGCCTCCGTTCATCTACAGGCCCGAGAAGGAAGCTGGAACTTCCTCATCCGCCAACCCCACCCGCGCCAGTCAAGCAGTATCCAGGCCCAAAACTTTCAATACGGGAAATTCAGGGTCCTAGACAAGAACGAATGAAACAGGTGAACGCCCAGACCCTTCCAAGAGCTGCATTGGACTCAGAGCTCCGTGGCACCACGACAACAGCCTCGGACAACGAGCGTTCGGCAAGGTCGATGATGGAGGTGGAGCCGTGGGAAAGGAAGCATATCGAGATATTGAGAAGTCTCATGGCACAAGGAAGCTACTCTGCTCCACCTCGGCACAGTCATGTCAGAACCGCCCTCAGCAACATCACGCTACAGATCGAGCACAGTATCGAGTGCTATCGGCAAGCACATCCCTGCAGCTATCTGGACCTCACCACCGCCTCCGACGATGCTCGGGACCTGAGTCAGGTCAGCTTTACGGCTTCAACCCCTTCAACAGTTGTCGACATGATGGAGACAGCCAGCTCTCATCCAGCAATCTGGCTTGATGATATTTTGCAGCTCTTCATATCGAACGCAGTGTTCACCTGGGCATTCAACGGATTCAAAGAAGATCCGCAGACCCAGATGCCATCTGCGGTGCAAAGGACGTTCAACCGACTCGCCCAATGTAAGTTGCTCAGTTGGTACACCCCGCTTGTGCTGATATTGTCGTGCAGACGATCCGGAGGCCGTACGCCGACTCAACATTGCCACCAAACTTGACCTTCTGGACGCCACGGTGAAACCAAGGCTGCCAGTCTACGCCGAAGAGTTCCAAATCCGCTTGTTCAACATTTTCAAGTCGATGAGAGTTGCACCTTCAGAGACGGACCCGGCATGTGAGGTTGCATGTGGCTCTCCAGAGTACTCTCAAGCAAAGCATCGTGAGTTCAAGAAGATCACGAGGACTGTTTTCTTGGACACCCTCAGCCTACGGGCAGACCTGGCGCGGTGCGACAGGAAGTACTTTGCTCAGTTCTTCAAGCAGGGTGAGCCATTCGACGAGGAGAGTATGGAACCACATCGGCAAGACATGGAAAATGCCTTTCGTGATAGCACGGTGTACATCTGCTTGCGGCCAGCAATCCTCAGCTTCCCAAGAGAGTCCGATTCCGAGGCGCCCAGCCCTAGCCAGGGAGTGGTGGTGGTCAAGGCAAAGGTGGTCGTCACGAGGAGCTCCCAAGCCTAAGTCCATTAGTGTGATTAGACACAAGTTTCCTCTATCTCTGGGTCGGAGTCTGAAATTGGTCGAAAACCCCCCCACAATGCGACGCCCGAGCGTTGGCCATCACTCGACTCTACTGTCTCATAGGTGATGAAGGCGCCTCGTTGCCCCTGGGAATGTAGTAGCGCTTGGCTGACTTGGACCATGTAAGAGACCCTCAGTATCCAGACAAGTTAGCCATGGCAAGCGTGAAGGATAAACCCACAAAGCTGAGCCACCAGACTGCGTACTGCGCTGGCCAAACAATTGCCCATTCTCAAGCGAATATCACCCCCCCGGCCGCCTCGGTCGTGGTATCATTGATCAAATGACCCGATTTCCTCCATTGAATGCGTGCGTATTCTTGCCTTGTTCATCTCGCCAAGCGGTGGCTGGCTGTAAGTCGATCCCAACACAGGAAATTTCCGCAGCCATCCATGACTTTGGCGCTCCTGGCTGCAGCCAGGTGATTTAGGCGTGGAAACCCATGGAAGTCAGCAGCTCCCATACCGCTCCTGACACTGTGATGGTCTCAGGCGGCTAGCTTCCCACGACCAGGCTGCCTGAATCCGTCGTGCAATGGGAGAATAACTCAAAAATAAGGTAGCGTATACAGCCTGTATGTGTGTGCCCGATGATGATCGTGACTTGTCCTGTGAATATACGTACGGAGTACCGGCAAAGGAAATAAATCAGATATAACAATCGCCCTGCCGCGCGTCCACTGGAGTTCAGCATTCACCGCCGGGACATGAGACCTGGCGCCCACCCGTCAGCGAAGTTGTCTAGTCATCTTAGACTACGCCTGTCACTGTCTCAGACCAGCCTAGCGTTGGGGAGAGGTCGATTCACCACAGCAACGCCAGCGTCACCAATCCAGGAGCGGAGTGGGAGTCTTCAGTCTCGGTCCTGCCGCGAGCTTTTACCTATCCCTGATTCCAGCCAGGCCAGGCATGACGTACCCACGCCTGCACGCAGCGGCTTTGCGTTGGAGGATCCTTCGGCCACACCTTCAAGGAGGCACGCGGTTCCGTTGGTCGTTGTTGTTCCCATTTGCCATGTTATCCCTTCAGTTCCATACTCGTTCCTACTCCGGAGACCCACCTACCCCGATAGGAGACCATCACTGCCTGCTCTTTGGTTTTCCCCAGCAACGACCACAGGTCTTTAGCCCTCACCCTTCCAGATGACCAGGGAGACCAACAAAGTTTAGGGCTTTTGTGCATTTGAAACGGGATCGGCAGGCACAGTAGGACACTTTCCTGCCTCCTGCTCACAGCTTTCTGAGTTCAAATCCTGCTGGCCTATCGTGGATTCCAATCCCGCTCTGCCCGCCGTAGTGTGCACGCCGGAGACAGAAGCTAGAAACACGCGCACAGTCTGCGTGCCTTGACGGTAAAGGCCCTATCGTGTTCCCGTTCGCCGTCAGAAATCCTACTCGAGCAAAAGTGGAACCCCTGGGGAAGAACATATTGATTACGCTCCGCTCTTCTCCGGGCAGCTTCCCGCCAAGAGAAGGGCGGAACATGACACCGAATTAGTACCACCGAGTTCTTTGTCTGCAACTTGAGCATCCACGCGGAGGGAAGAGCTGGACTCGCTCGGACAATAAGAAACTAAGTACCGTAGGCATATTCAAGCCACAGTATCGATCAAAGGAGAGACAAGCGGAAAGGGATGGGACCTACATCGGCAAGACTGCCCGTTCAGTTCCGCCTTTGTGACACTTCATCTGTCTCGCAAGTTAGTCAACGTCTTGAGTTTCCTCGGACTCTCTCACAGGCTTCTCGCGGATCATTAATCTCAATCTCCCACACGCATCCCACGGGTCATCCACCTCAGTCTAGCATGGCGGCAGGAGCAGCCGTCTCTCTCCCCCTAGCGGCCTGGGGAGTAAGGAGCCACTGGAAGCCCAGCAACTTCAAATCCCCATAATCCTGCCTGATATTGTCCTCCTTCAACCCAAGGACCAAGCCCCCTTCGCCGCTTATCGGCCGACTCTTTGACTACCTGCAGGACATCCCTGCTCTTGCCGCTCGCTTCAATCGGGTTTATCCTACTCGTGGCCTCTTCAAGACAGCGGCCAGCACCACCCAATCACATCGCAGACAAAGTAGCTCACCACGGATCTCTCTCTCAGCCGCACTTCTCGCATTCCAGCAGATCTTCAGGCTGCGTCAATACCCAACGGCCGACAGTGGTCGAGGTCCCGGACTTTTCAAACGCCGTCACTACATACCGCGTGGGGCTCGATCCTTGCCGCCCCTCTCCGCCACCATCAATGTCGATCTCGGCGCCCATCAACAACCCTCCCAATGTCAACTTTCGCTTGTGAGACTATACGCTCCGACCCTGCGAAAGCCACCAGCGAGAACGGTTGTGGGGTGCACCGCGACTACGGTACATTCAGTACCATCTTACCAAGACGGCAATGACGGCCTCTAGATCGAAGATCCAGCCACTTTTGGTGTCTGGAAACCTGTCCCTGTCAATGCCACCGTCTTCATATGCGGCTGGTGCGCCCCCTCATCTCGGGTGGCGAGCTCAGCGCAGTCTGACACCGAAGACCAGGCGCCGTTCTTTGCGTTGCTCCGGATCCCGACGTCGCTTTGAAACCCATGGTGACAGGAAACACGGTCGTTAGCTTTTCGGACAAGGCCCTTGCCGGAGATCTTGACGTCCAATGGTTCAAGGGGATCATGGGAAAGAGAGGGCGCTGGTGGGGGAAGGAATGAGGAACGGGCGGACGTTGCGGAGATTCCCCAAGACGAAGACATTGAGCGGCTTATCCTGAGTTGATCCGGTCCAGAGAAAGAGGCCATCCTTGGCAGTTCTGATTAGAGGATATTCTGATACAGAGTCAAGGGCAGCGACGAGCTAGCGGGGGAACCACGCAGCAGCCAAGACCAACCTGCTGTCACTCGCTGTTCACATTCGGAATAGCATGAGATTCTCAATTTGTAATCCCTAGTTCGGGGCATGACAACAGCGTTCAAAGCTCAAGTTCCCGGCGGAGTCGCGTAGCCATGGTAGGGTATCCATTCGCCTCGAACAGTGAGTCGTGAGTCTACTTGTAGCCAAGAATGGCGTCGTTCTCGGCAGAACATCACTAGAACCAGAATGGCTTGTAATTAGTCCATATCTGTTTCATTGAGCAGGGCATGAGCAGGGCCTGAACCCTACAGCAAGATTGTCCCCGGCCCAACATAGTACCAGGTCCTGCTCAGTACCATGGTTGTGGCTCCCATTCTCCGGGGACGTCACCACAAGTAGCACAATTTAAATATATCCCCAATCCAGGTCTCCTGACAACCCTCTTGACGGCGCTCCGTCCCTGGCACCGTTACCATGTCGAGCTGACTACATCGTCGAAGACTTTGGTGATTTCAATCGTCCAGGCTACCGTAGGTCTATTACAAAACGAATTCAACAGCTTGTTCAGGTTCCTCAGGTTATCGTCTTTATCCGGTTCCTCGGGTTATCACCTTTATTAGGATCCCGGGTTGGGACCCCGTCAAAGGCAGTCCATATGCCCTCGTATAGACAAAGTAAGGACCCCGAAAAGCCAAAGTCGGCGACGTACGGTATTCAGTACGTATTGTGCCTTGGCGCGGCCTTCCCGGCGGGTGAACTTCTCCCGAAATAGACGAGTGGAACGGAGCACACGCTAGAAAAAGGCGGACATGATTTCCAACAGCGCAACTAGCCTATGTCTATTATTGATGGGAGGCCACGATCCCCCGATATCCTACCGCGCGACGAGGAAGTCGGTGAAGACAAACCATCAGCCCGAACCATCTACCGCCCGCCCAAAAACTCCGCCTTGTACGCTTGGACACCTCCCTTCGACAGCTCTCTCAGCGCCATGGTGGCGTATTGGCTCGAGCCAAGTTGGAACTTGAGCACCGCCGCGAGTTTGTTGGTGTATTGCGCCTCCGGAGACTGCTCAGTCAAGGCCTGTTGCGGCGGTTTTGGCGCCTCTACAGCAATCGCAGCATCATCTGAAACCGTAGTCTGATCCACTCCCTGGTTGGCCTTTTGGTCATGTTTCTTGATCCGCTCCAAATCGGTCTCCACGAACTGCTTCTCCCCTTCTTTCTCACCACAATACTCGTGTACATTGACCTCCCAGACCTCACCAATGCGTGCCAGTATTTTCCGGTATCCGCCGCTGAGACTGAAGTCTTTCTGCTTGCGTCGCATGTTGTATGGATCGAGTCCACCACCAGCCTCGCTCGCCATGAAGGTCTTATACCATTCCCCGCCCGCGTTGGCCGGATAGAGCACATCGAATCCTGGAAGAGGAAGGACAATATCAAAGATTGAGTATTCCCCACCTGTTGCTTCTTCCGCGGTCAATGCGCGGGCTCGTTCGAACATGTCGTCCTTGTCAAACGCCCTGTCGTCGCCGGAAGGTTCTATGACGATTTCACCGTCCGCGTCGACGGTCTCTCGGGCGGCCGACTCAGGATCCATTTCTTTGTCCTTGTGCTCGCGGACAAGGACAAGGTCACCCTCCACGACCTTGTCTCCATACAAGCGCCAGCGCTCACCGACCGCAAGATTCCACACCAAAGACTGATAGGCGTGGACGTACATAAGCCTCAGGTTCCGCTGGATACTCAACAGCGCGCCAAGATAGTCCTGTCGATGCCTACCGAGGTGTCGAATAATATTCGACTCGGCGGAGAACTTGCGAGGGATCTTGTCGAGCGCTTCGTTGATCCTACCCGTGTTACGCCAGAGATTGATACCTTCGGCTCGGGACCGATCATCCTGGCCCACAAGAACACCAGTCTCCGACGCAGCTTCATTGAGGGCCGATGGTGAAAATTCGAGGATCGAGTCGCACGCACTCTTGAAGTCTCCTTTGAGGATATGAAGGCCGACAATGTCCGTACGGGTTGCGAAGGTGCCGAATCGTTGTAACCCGTAGAAGTTGAGGAAGCCTTTCTCGCGGAGTCGGTGAAGTGCTGTGTGCAAATAGGAATGGAGGTCGGCTTTCCGCTCACCAGCGACATCGTCAGAAGAGGAAGCTTCGAGCCGGCAATCTCTCAAGGTGATGACGAATTCGTTCCCACTAAGGTCGCCAAGTTCGAGGCCTTGCTTGTGGTACTCGAAGTCCCCAACGGCCGCATATTTCAAAGATCGATTCAACCCCGCTAGCCGCTCCGCCTCCACCCGATACGCGCTAACTCGCTGCACAGTCACAGCGCGTCGATCCTTTGTGCCGGCGAATTGAAATGTCTTGGTGTTCGTCTTCAATTGCTTCGTCAGATACGAGACGACCTCCAGAGTATCCTTGTTCTCCTTGTAGAGAGAAAAGTGGAGATATTCGCCGCCGCGGTCCTGCCAGCTGAGTTTGTTGGGTCGAGAGGATCGATCATTGTTCGATTTGCTGTTCCCGCCACGGTTGCGGTCACGATTATTGGGTGACGCCGTATGTGATGCGGTGAGCACGAGGATACCATCTTTGTCTGTTGAAGAGTCGATCTTGCTGTTGAAGATCCGGCGGATATTTTGATGGATCTGGGACCGGATATTGCGGTCGGAGGTAAAGTCTGTACGGACCATGGGGTGGTCTCTCGATTTCCAGTCTGGGTGGCGCAGGATTGATTGGTAGAGAGAAGACATCAGACCGACTGTTTCGTCGGAGAAGTATCCCAGAAGTATGGCGTGGTCGGCCTCGGGGATCTGGTTCTTTGTTACTTTGGTAGGGCTCGAAGAAGGAAGGAAACTCACCTGTGCGGATTCTCCATTCGCGTCTTGTCCCTTCGTAGCCTCTGGTCCTATCGTCTTCTCAACGTTTGGTCCTTTTTCTCCCGTCTCTCCTTCGGGAGTAGGCTGCTCTGGCACAGTCTCCTGATCTGTCTGCATTGACTTTCGATTCACAGCAGAGGCAGTACTCCCAGGCTTAGGCAGCACAGCCTGGTCCTGTACCTTGATCGAGCTCAGATGAACCACGGTTCCATTTGGCAAGATCTCGTTAACCAAGAAATCCGTGTACCGCTTCTTGAGAATCCCTCGGAAGACAGGTCGGGTCTCGTCGACGAAAGCAGTGATACCGACCTGTCTCTCCTTGGCCGTATCGTCCGACACAAGCGGGCCTTGCTGAATGTGGCTCTCATGGCCTTGGTGAGCCATGGTTGAGGTGCCCTCGATCGTGACGTCGGCTTGACTTGAATCAAGCTTGACACGCTTCGGAGGCCGAGAGTCGGCCTCTTGCCCGTTCATTTCGAGGTCTAGAACAAGACGATTGTAGGCAGTGCAGCGAGGTGAGGCAGAAGATATAGTGAATCATTGGTTGACGCTCAGTTTGAGATTTCATTGACTGCCAAGACAAAGATTACAGCTAGTCCACCTGAGGAATAGCGCTTCCCCTATTTTCCAACGCCTCGTCTTGTCCACCCACATAGACGTGGAGCACTCCGCAGCAGAACCAGCGTCGACTGAGTTATCTTCCCGTCGCACATATTCAATGAAAGCCCATCTCCCGCAGTGCATCCCGCAAAGGCAGGTCGCCTTCTACTGCCTCGTCATTCTGTGTCTTTGGGCGGTCCTCATTTTCGATTTGAGAATGTCTCCGGGAGTGTTTGAAACCAGAACCTTCCGAGACATTCCAGTTTGCAGATTCCAAAGCGTCATCGCCTCCACTACTGATCCTCTCCAAGAGTGTCCACTGGCGCCCGGAATTATCAAACTCCTCTACCAAGATATCACGAGTGAGTTCCCAATCAACTCCGAATGCACCGCTGTTGAATTTTGCGCTCCATATCTCTCCAGGTTTGTCGTCGTCGGCCTCGCTCGCTGTTACCTTCTCGGGACCCGGTATGTCATAGTCCTCGAGGCGTGTGCGGAATTCCTCAAGGGCGAATCTCGTGTGATTGAGGATCTGGGATGGGGAGTCTTTGCCAGGATTGTTTGTTTTCATGTTCCGTTTACCATAGCCAGTGCTGGTGAAGAGGCAGCCAATCCAATGACGCGGTTTGGGGATAGGAACCTCCCGGATAAATGAATTATCAAGGCCTTTGAGTCTCAGCTTGCGTTCTTGCTCATAGTCGGATGGCTGCGGAGGGATAAGGAGGCAAGTCCCAACAAGACTGTATGGGCGGCTGGCCCGTTGACAGTGCAATCGGTAGGTCTCGAATGCTGCTGGGCACTTGAAATAGTTAACCAGGGTCCAGAAGGGATTAGGCTGTAGCCGTACCATGTTCTTGAGTTCTTTCGCCATCCCATAGCCCCAGACTCCTTGACAGTTGACTGCATCTATCAAGACTTGTGTCAGTCTCCGTGTGCCCATCACTGTTAACTCACATACGGACAATGACTGCTCTGTCAGGAGCATCTTTGATGTCACCTTTGATCTCTCGAATGACGAATCCCGGCGCAGGATCCGACTGGTACACTGTCGGCTGTTCCGTCTTTTCGTATTCTTGTACCTCGTCGATTTCCATGCCGTCTTCCATTTCAGGCGAAGCAGATCTCGCTCGTCGAGGAGGAATCCAGAGGTCTTCGTCGCCCTCACTCGGCTTGGTCATACGTTCTTGGCCGTTGACCACCTGTTGCATAGTGTAGTTCGCCTTCCCGTATCCCATGCCTTCCTGGTCTTTCAGGTGCCTCTCGAAGAGCGCGCCGTAAGCTTCGTCGATAAGTTGTAATTGCCTCTTCGCATTCTCGGCGCCCCGTCGACCTTGCACTGTCCAGTATTCAACCGCGTTGAAATACGTTTCATCCAGTTCTTGTAAAGATGCGTCTTCTGGCAAGCTCAACGCTCCGTGATACTTGTCATAATCCTTAAATTCCATGGTGGTGATAAGCGTGGGTTCGGTAATGTTGAAGAGGTGAGGAAAGAGTGAGGTGCGTCTGCGGCTGACATGCCTGCCGAACAATTTTGAAGTGGTGAGAAGAGCCTTGTTCGATGTGTGTGGGTAGGCAGTTACTACAGGATAGCTCCCGGCACAATGGTGAGGCAGTTGTGTCTGAAAAGGTAGAACTGCCACCTTGGGTGAAGTGAGGCAGCACTAAAGCCGACCTTAAGCTCAAGAGAATGAGCTTCCTGAGTCCTTGGAGAGATTGAATCTGCGAATTCTCCTTTGCTGGATACTTATTACTGGCAGCAATGATGGTTGCGTGATTCCTATACTAGATGCTTGTCCCTATGCCAGAACGCGTCGTGACTCGTCATACTCATTGTCCCTCTCCCATCGCACATATTCCAATGCTGATTACAATGCAAAATCAGGTCCCTGACAGCACCATATTCACTTCCTGAAGAATCCCAAAATGCTTTGCCTCTTCTTGACGCGCTTCTTTCCGAGACCAATGGCGTCTGTTGACTTCGTCTGGGTTGTTTCAGCTGTATTGAACCTTTGACTCGAAGGAGTGGTGGATCTAATCGAAGGCAGACCCACTCGGAAGCGCTCAGTGAAAGCTGGCGCACTTGACTTCTTGCTCCTTCGACTCCTCTGGCGACTCAACGCGTGTAACATACAATCCTCATCAGATGACTGTCTTTCAAGCTGCTCGATCTCCTGCAATGCCGTCATGCCGTTCGTCGCCAGGTTCTCCTCCGACACCGCATCAAACCGAAGAACTCCACGTTTTGGCGGGATTTGAAGAGTGTCTTGGATGAAATCTTGGATCAGATGTGTACTTCTCTTGTTCTTGGTGGCCGCGATTTCCGAGGGCAGAGCCGTAATTTTAAGATGATACGCCGGTTCCGAGTTTCCTCCAAGGAGCATCTGGACGTCTGTTGTCACCATGGCCATGACGCACGATGCCGGACGCTGATAGATTTCAGAGAGACGGAAAGACAGATCGATGAGGAACTCTTTTTCGAACTCGACCTACGCTGGTGGTCAGTGACGCTCACACGGTCGGATTGTCCATCTTACGCGGCAGTTCAGCTTGACCTCAGCCAAGATGACTGAGTCCTTCGCCACCCGTTCTTTGGCAGCATTATTCGGCTCACGATAAGCGAAGGCGTTGTCGTAATATTGGCTTTTCTTCTTAGACAATCCCAGCTTGCTCCACGAATGTTCCAGACTTGCCAGGTCTGACAGGCCCTGAGAGCCTTTAGTCAAGACGCCGAATTGATTTGAATGCGTAAGCTCTGGCGGAGTCGACTGTGCACGTTGTAATGGAAGAACTCTCTGAGGAGCTGGCAATATCCGGCCTTTGAGGCGGAATGCATTGTCAGGAGCGGTATCACCAGTAGGTGGAGTGGGGAAGGCATTCTCGATCGCCGTGCCGTTGATTCGGCTCGTGGAGGATGGGGTGGACGTCATTGATGTCGGCCTTGGGAAGCTCCAGGCTTCTCTGGCGGACGTTCTTCTCAACTGATATTTTCTTGCAAGCGCATCATTTGGAGATACGGGTCGGAATACTGAATCTGTAGAGCTCAGGTAACATGTCGACAGGACGAAATTCACTCTCAAGGGCAGGGCCAAGAAGCACGATTAACAATGAGAGCGTTCTAAGGGAGATCCAAAAATCCAACGAAAGACAAAACACTTCACTTGGGCGAGTGAAACTTTTGCGATGCAGAGGGAGCAGTTGACAAGAAGGAAAAGGTGGAGGCAAGAAGCGCGGATGAGTCGACATGCGGTCACCCATCGTGCCTGCATGTTCAAGTCCAGGTCAACCTTCTGCATATACGAGACGCATTCCCAACGGCAAATACTTATCAGTCCTTCCAACACCCTTCAACGGAAGCCACACTTTTGGTCGAATTCCTCCATTTACCACGTCCCTAGTACTCTGGGTCGTTCCCGAGGCGGCACAAAGCAGGCCGATAAGGAGAGTCAGCCACTGCGCGAAAAGATGGAGGTTCTTCTGGGCATATTTGGACTGTTTGTTGCATTGGCACAACTTCCCCGCATTTTTGAGACACGGCGCTACGTCACCACTAGCTTTGCCTTCGTGGACGCGACGAGCAAAACCAATCGGTTTACGTGTTATGAAGCACTGCTCTTACTGCTCCCAGAAAAGGCGAGTCAGCTTTTTGGACGTCGGTGGGATGTCCTGCTCGGCTAGTCGAATGTACCTCACTCCCGAATTGATCTCCGAACTAGGGTTCGGAGAAGTAGAAGTGACGTAGACTGGACTATCAAATTCCTTGCGAGTACAACTGACCTTTGAAGTCCATCTCCTTTGACTTCTACCCTGACATCTACCTGTGCAACCAATATTCAGCTGACGAAATCGAAGCCCAGAAGCTCAATATCTCGTAATCAGAGGCGTCTCAGTACAGAAAAGGTACGTCCCCACGAGGCTTGCACCCGCTCGCACCGTTGACGTCAGGATGATGCTGGCGGAAGCTCGATCCTTGATGTGATGTCGTGCAGTGAGTCGGAACTGACATTTATTTCAGGTGTGTCACTCAAAACCGTCTCAATTCCAACCTCACTTCTTCGTTTCTGCAACAACCTTCAAGCTCAACCTGAATCAAATATGAATCGTCTCGCTCGCCAGACACAGCGCGCTCAACGACTGATCACATCGCAGACCTCACGACCATTTTCTGCATACTCTGTCAGAATGGCTGACCAAGACAAATCCTCACTCGACGCGAACAAGGGTTCCGTAGGCTCTCAATTCCAGCCAGAGGGCAATGTCGGCCAGGTCGGGGAGAAGGTTGGCGGCCCGTTCAGCAGCAAAGGTGAGTCGTTTTCTCGGACCGCCATGCCGACAAATCTAACAGACAGCCGCAGGTGCGGTGGGAAAGGAGTTCACAGATAAGGGATCGGTTGGTACGTGATCGGACTCTCACTTCGGGCCCCACAGAACGCTGTTACTAACCTCCTGTGCTTGCAGGTGGCACCGCACAATCTGGTATGACCAATTGCCCTTGTGACTAAACATGGTCCCTGTGCTCACCATTATCAGCTGCCGAGCAGATGCAAGGAGAGAAGAAGCCCATTTTCGACAAAGACGGCGCAGTTGGCAAACAGTTCCAACGTGAGTTAGGATTGACTACTTCTGACGGCTTCAGGACTGACGGTGGATGTAGCTGAAGGATCAATCGGTAGCGTCGGCGAGGCAGTCGGTGGTCCCTTCTCGTCGCAGGGCGCTATCGGCAAGCAATTCACAGACAAGGGCGCAGTGGGAGGAACGGTTCAGGAGAACTTGGGCAGTGGAAAGAAATAGACAATGCCAAGAGGAGCACGAAAGCAGGAATATGGTGCAGTCACAGTCCGCATTCGGTTCTGCAGATTGTATTATGGAGAGTCGTTCCCGAGCATATGAGACTGATGCATGATACCTACCGCATCGCGGCAATGAGCATCAATATCCAAATCCCATATCCAGTCCCATTGAGTGGATAACGTATCTCGGACCTTCTCAAGATCGTCACCGATACCAGACAGTTCGAAATCGTACAGCAGGCCTCGGCTCCTACTCGTGGCCACGACCTTTTGAGTTCGGTCCCTCCGTACAGCGTCATAGGCTGTAAACGCTCTTGTGAGTTGTGCCCGGTCAGGTGTCTTGATCTCTCCAAGTAACTGACTAAGGACTGCAGCGTCCTCGATAGCCATGCCGGCCCCTGCGCCTTGATGAGGAGTTGATGCATGTGCACAATCGCCCAGTAGGCATATTCGGCCGTCCAGGGTGTAAGTCTTGAGTGGCGGAAGATCAAACAAACCCCATTTGTCAGGCTTTTGAAGTAGGGAAAGGAGCTTTTTGATAGGCTCACTCCAATCCTTGAAATCCTCCAGTGCGTCTTCGACCGTAGCTGGAACGACCCAATTACTGCCGTGGTGCCAGTCCGATCGACCGTGGAATGCGACAATGTTAAGCGTTTTCCCTTGGTTGATAGGAAAGGTGACGAGGTGGCCGCCGTACCCGAGTATCAGGATGTGATGGACGGCGGCGACTTCTCCCAGCGCCTCAATGGCATCTTCAACCGGAACGAGACCTCGATAGGCGTATTTCCCCGTGAAACATGGCTCGTATTTCTCTTGTCCTTCGTGAAGAATATTCCGCACTACCGACTTGACGCCGTCGCAGCCGACGGCAGCGTCAACGATTTCTGTGGTACCGTCTGCAAAGGCAACCGTCACTCCGCCATCATGTACCTTGATGTCTGTACATCTCTTCCCGAAACTGACTAGATCACCCTCGATACCTTTAGGCAAGAGCTTGACCATCTCGTCTAGGAACACCGCTCTGTGAACGTTCCGTAGCTTGTTGTCATTGTAAACCGTACCAATCTCGTCGAATGCCTTCGCGATATTGCTTCCTCTACCATCCATACCCATGTAGACCTTGCTGAATGCGTACTTCCTCTGGCCGTTGACATCTGCTCGAGGAGCTTCATCGGCTATCCGGCCATACGCTTCATGGAGCTTCGGGTCAATTGCATGCATCGCTCGTACCGCGTTGGGCAGGAAGCCGACACCAGCCCCAATTTCAGAAAACGCGGGGGCGGCTTCATAGAGGTGCGGCCGTATCGCCCGCGGGTCGCCGTGCTCCAGTATACCTAGTAGTAGACTTAGTCCGCCGATTCCTCCCCCGATGATTGCTATTCTCAAGGGCTTTTTGCTCTCTCCTGCATCGCCCATGATGATTCGTGTGAAGTGTGAACGGAGCAGAGGAATAATCGAGCCTTCGGTATTCATTCATGTTGGCAGGTGCAGATTCCTGCAAAGCCATGAGTCTTAAGTATCTGGTCTACCCGCGCGCATGGCGGCCGACTTTGGATCTCGTCAGCCCGAACGCCAGAAGCTGACACGATGCCGCTTAGCCAGATAGGCAGAGTGAGTTTTGTCACGGGTTCATTTAGGACGATTGCCACGACGTCATGAGACTGTGTAAAGCTTGCGCGACTGCTGAAGATTATAGTCAATATCGCTCGTTGAGCACCTGAAACATTGTTTCGAGAATGGGAGTGTTGGCCTCCTCGTACATCGTACGGCTTAGGTCCTCGATGGTTAAGTGAATGAAATATCCAGCCTCGCCAGGTAAGTGTGGTGGGTGACTGGGGGATCTGGAGAATACGTGGCGCTATTAGGTAAGATTTCTGTGCTTAATCACCAATGGCGACTCGGCGCAGCCACTAATCAAACACCTTCGTGCTAGAGCCATTTCAGGACTAGTCCGCGTCGGAAAAGATTCCAATCGTGACTCGGTGGCTGTAACCTTTTATAACTTGCCTCATTGCTCCTCGTGTAAGATATTCGATTAACCAGCCTGCAGTAAAGTACACTTCTCCATCGACGGGCTTGTTTGCTGCCCAACTCGTTCACACATGTCCCTGTCTGATCTTCTCTTCGTCCGCTGTAGACTCTTGTGTCCGGTACGCCTCAGGAGTCCTTAACCGCCTGCCCCTTTCATTGCCGCCCGCCACCGCATGCACGTTTCAGGATCACTGTCGAACTTCTGTCGTCAGGCGCCCACGTTTGTGTTGGCGGCCTTTCGATGACCCTCCTGAATCAAAGTTGGCGCGAGACTACCTATGTTATGAGGGGCCATTTAAGCGCTCGGTGGCCGTCATCCTCCTGCACCCAAATCATGCGGCTCTCAAGGTGCGCTCCGGTGTCCCGTGTCTTGGCGCGAATTCCCAATGCACAAAGGCTCCGACTCGTCGAAACACACCACAAGCAACAACGCGGGAGACATCAGGGGCATCGACAACCCTTTAGCACTGTTTGAGAGCTGGTACAGTAGCTCGGACGTGTTCCTTGCATAACCGCCAACATGCCATCACAACATGAACCGCTAGACACGTGCTGTGGACATATTACTCCAGAAAATCTCCTGCGATGTTCTCACTCCTCCAAGCTCACACTGTCTGAGTTCCATCCTGCTGGGCTAATCTGTCACCAGAACGTGTGGACTTGCGTTACATACAAGGGTCGATCCACACATCACCACTCGGTCCCATTCGTCTAAACCGAGACCCTTAGTTCCTACCCAGGCATGGAGACCTCGAGCCCGAACCCCGACACGACAGTATCCCTCTTGAGAGTTCTTGACGGCAGTCACCTTAAGTGGTCCGACTTTCGAACAGTTGTCCTCAGTGCGTTCCGCATCGTCCTTACTGAGAGTATCCAGCTTTCAGACCTGTCTCGCCCATTTTCCGACAGACTCAAGCCGTGTCTCCAGAGGGTGGACCGATTCGAGCATCAAGAAAGACAATGGCGAAGGAACCTGGCCGATGGCAAAGGATTCGGCTCGTCGATTGTCTTTCCTCCTGACGTCCTCCCACCGATTGGAGTCAATCGTGGCCTCCACCGATGCCAAGCCCCGAAGCTGAATCGCGAGGCTCTCCCACCACGAGCGGTCAAAGCTCAAGAGAGCCTGTTCGAGTTGCCTGCCCCTCGACCTAATCTCTTGACCGGTTTCACCACAGCTGCTTTCAACGAAAGAGAACTATCTATTCTGCCGCATTGCACGTCAGCCTCAGGGACCATTGTCGACTTTGAATCAGGCTCCGTTTCTCCTGGAACAACCACCTATTGCCCCTTCCTGATATTTGAGCGAATGGACACTTCGTCCGAAGATGCAGTGCAGACAGCCAGAAACCAGTGCGCAATCGCCGGCGCTCATTGCGTTCGAGCACAGCAACTCCTTTTCAGAAGATGCGGTGGCTCTCGCCCTGTGTTCGAAAAACCGATCTCATTCTCTTGCACTATCGACAACTCAGCTGCTGTCATCAACTATCATAGCATTGACGCAGATGGGCGCTATTGTATGTCAGAGCTCTCGCGGTTCAATCTCGACGAAACCGATGGGTTCAGAGAATTCCAAGCCTGGATCGAGGCGATCGAGGATTGGGGCTCAACATACCTGCTGCCGGTCATCAAGATTGCCCTAAGGCAACTGTTGAAGAACAACACAACTCCTCCTATTTCTCCAATGCCTTCGTTGACGCTGTCGATCGACACCGCTGCCGGTACCGAGGAAGTACTCATGAGAGTCCTTCGTTCAACATTTGGGTCGGTCAAATGGAAATGTGATGGGGAGTATGAAACCCCACTGAACAGCAGTGTCGCTCATTGCGGAACACCCCTAGGGCCCCGCAAAATCAGAACCCTGGCACTCTCGCCGACGTCGCCCATTGACATTATGAGTGCTTCAGGACCGCCAACTCCCTTCTCTGTATGGCGGATGCGACCGGAGTTTAGCAGCAAGTCTCCCATCGCGCGCAGACATCCCCTTTCGCCACTCAAGCTCCGAGCTGATATCCCGGACTCTCCATGCCGACGAGGCACTCTATCCCCATGCACTCCTCCACCTGAAGCCCCGAACTCTGCTAAGTCACCAATGCTCGTACTTCAGAAGAGAGTAGACCTGGCCATGAATGAAATCCAAGAGCTTAGAGAGCTCGTGCAAATCTTACAGAGCGAACTCAGGCTAAAGAACGACCAGCTCAAAGTAGAACAAGGTTCACTGGACCAAGACTCGGTGAAAATGAGCGACGGCGGTGCCGAAACCCCGACAGCCACACAACCCAGTGACCGGGTTGTTCATCCCGAACAAAACCTCAACTCAGCGATCTTGTCGAGACCCAAATCTCATCCTTTGGCATCTCCCGGATTCTCCTTCACAGACATATGTTGCTTGATCTTGATATTCTGCATGGTCATATCCTCGAGTCTATGGGAAACTGCTGCATATGTCGCATGGCTGTGTGGACCGTCGATTCTATCGAACAAACTGGCGGCGCCATCTAGCTTTCCTTGGCTCAACACAATGTAGTGATTAGGAGACAAGCTGCGAATACAAAGTGTCTATGTCGGTCGGATGGTTCCCAAGTAATGCCTCTCCATACAGCAGTAGCAAGTCTTCCGAACAGCAGCATCCCCTCAGATGGGTCCTACTTTTGCTGGCTCACGGCGTTGCCGCATTACAATTCCTGATTCTGTGCCGTTTCGTACATCAGCGCACCCTAACTGAAGCGAACTTTGGCGAGTACCTTATAGCCGTGCTCGCTAGGGTTGGACACTGCCACATCCAGCTCTGAAAGGGATACGAATGTGCATGATATGCATCCACCAGGCGCTGTGCCGTGAGGCCGGTGACCTGACGCGGTGATAGGCAGGATAATCTTGGTTGACGATATCAGGCCAGCAGGGAGCATTAACGCCACCATGAGTGACTCGGCGAAGCCGGAAGCCCCCTGTACGAGGTTACCGCAGCCAAAAGGCTGGCTGAAGCCTGATCCAGCGCCACCGTTGAGCGACTTTCAGCCTCGCCGTCTACATCGATAGTGCGTCATGTAGTGGAAGTGTCTTCCCGGTAAGGCGGCCGGAGGGTCTGCTTCGAAAAAGCCAGGGATCGAGGCCTTCCGACACACGTGGCCACCGCAGAAGCCCGGTTCAGGGGCCGAACGCCACATCGTCGCCCTATCGGGGTCTCTTGGCAGCCACGTTACCATCTCCGTCGCCTTGATACCGCACAACCTCGGCAACTAGCCGCGTCCGGTATGAGGCTCGCGTGTACTCTGTACAAGTTCATTATTCTTGAACTCAATTCAACCTTTCGCTTGGTCAAATTTCTCTTCTGGGACCCTGCCTCAATGAGTCCCGCAGGGATCTAGGCCGCCTGGGCCAGACACACGTGTGAGCAGCCGGGGACGCCATTGCATTGACTACTATACCTATTTCGGCCTAATGAGGTTTGATATGGACGTCGCAGCGTCTACGACGAAGACTTCGAGGCTTTTTGCGCAAGGCTTGGAATGCATGTGTGCATGTGTGCATGCCGGCATGGACACGGGCACAGGAGTACCCCAACAGCAATATACGTAGCTGTTCCGAGCGAGTGAGTACCCTCCTCTCTTCCTCATTGTTTTGTCTTTCATTCTTGCTCTCCATTCACTCGTTCTGCATCGTCCTTTTGGCATTTGGCACTTGTGCCGTCCATTCATTGAAGCTTCCTAGTCACTCCTTTTCAGAATGCTAATCCCTGTAGCACTTCTTGCTTCGCTCACCGTTGCTAATGCTTTCACCAATGCCGACGTCACCGTGAGGGTCAAGCAAACTCGAACTGTCACAGTCTGTCCTTACCCCATACCCCACGGACGCTTGTGACGACAAAGGCCAAAGCTGGGATCCTGCCTTCCCGCACGGGGAAGACTGGAACGACTGGCACGGAGACCATGGAGGGCAGAGCGGTTACAATGGAGGTCAAGAAATCGGCGATGACCAAACTGGAGGTCACGGAGGCACCAACAGTGGCCCACCCGAGGACATAGGCGGTCATGATGGACAGGCAGGAGATGGTCACGTCGCCTGGGGAGACTGGGACGATCACAGCGCCAACTGGAGCGGTAAAGAATCATCGGCGCTGGGACGAAGCACGACATCCCACTCTCACTTCACCGGAAAAACGAGCTCAGGACCTTCTCGTTCGACCTCGAAACCCGGCAGAACCTCCCATCGCCAGCCGTCAGCGTCCTCAGACAGTACAGCTCATGCCATTAGTCCCTCCACAAGCTCTCACCAATGGACTACTTCCTCGACGCCCACCACTTCCAATCCAGCTGACCTACCATCGTACTCATCAACCTCCGATCGGTCTAACGAGGACACGTCTACGACGAGTCACGCCGGACCACATGGGACATCGAGCACGACGGCCCCTCCAGATATGACGAGTGCGCCGACTGTGGAACCCTCGACATGCATCCCGGACCCTGCGCCTGCCCGCGTTTCCGGAGACGGTAGCTTTTTCATCTCCCTAGCCTTGAACCTAGGGCAAAGGAGGTACCATAAGCGCCAGACCACGACTGGATACATCGGATTCTCTGGAACCGAAGCCATTGCCGTCACGGACCCAAGTTTAGCCTGGGCACTCACCCTCGACGAAGTAACACAGGTACTCGGGTTCAGCGGCGCATCTGGCTATGTGGGGTTTGACAGCCTCAGCGTGGACGCACCCGTGCGCAAGACTAATGATGACGGCTCATACGCACCTGCTTTCTTCGCTGGTTGGACGATAGACCCGGCAACAAGCAGCATTTATTTTGGAACTGCGCAGTTTTGCACCGTTGCCAACACGACTCTTGTCGCTTACTGGGACGGGGTTGTTCCTGACGGCTGCTCGGCAGTTGCGCTTGTTCAGATACAGATTGACACGGTCCCTATATCTTCGACTAGCTCAGCCACGACGACAGTTACCGCGGCTACACCTGAGACAACAACATCAAACGCAGCAGCAACCACCAGCGCGTCGAGTTCCCCAGTACAGGACGCTGGATCTCCAGGCTCCTCGCTAATGACAAGCACAGCGGGAGCATCGTCCTTACCGGCAACAACGTCGAGGGTATCTTCAGTCAGTGGTGCTCCTGACCAGGACGAGGGGACTCAACTCTCCTCCACAACAACTTCCACTGCTGTGGGTGTCGTCGGACCTTCGGGTCCTTCGAGCACGAGCACGGTCACGGTCATTACCACGACGAGCAGCTCCGCACCTGTAGGTGACACTGCTGTAGCTGGCACTTCGACAACTACCGTCCCCAGTTCCACCGACGTTGAACTCACTCCAGTCTCCACTACCACAAAGTCTAGCAATTCCAGCACAGATTCTGCTCTGCCCAGCTCAACACTTACAACATCGGTGGCACCTGATGCGGTATCTACATCAACTCTCAGCGCCACGGCTACCACCACCGAAAGCACACCCTGCATTATCGGAGCAAACCCGACTTTCTCCCTTCTCAGCTCGGGAAGTCGCGGCATTCCCGATGGCCAACCTGCGATCTCTGTCCCAAGCGGCAGCCCAGCTTATCCTTTCGATTATCTGGGCTTCTCCTCCGGCACACCTGCATTGTTCACCTTCGATAACCAAGGACGGCTCGTCGAGGTCGCAACGGGCAACATCGCCGGCAGCCCTCAGCCAGGTCAGAACGCTGTGTCTTTCTTGTTCTCCCCTCAGACCACTGTCGACGGTCTTGGGATTTCGCCAGCATCTTGTTCGTTGTCCTGCCCGGCATCTGGCACGGGACTCCCTCAACTACAGTGCAGCGTATGGGGTTACTCGACTTTTATAACTCAGGTGGCCTTCCCCTACCTGGGCATCGCCAACGTCGTGCCTACGGATGGTCTGACCTTGACTCTCCTGGCTGGGATCGTGTCTCAAGATGAGACTCCGACGAGTTCTTCATCCACGGCTGCGACGAGCACCACAACCTCTGATATCGCCCTTTCCACTGCAGTATCCTCTTCGGACCCCGCTTCAAGCAGTGCCTCGGGGTTTTCCGCAACGACTAGTGCTGGTCGCTCTACAAGTCCCTCAACGAGCACGTCAGACTCACCTAGCACGAGCGTCGACTCTGTGACCTCCACAACGTCAGCTGTCCTCAATGTGGCGGAGACGACAACCACTTCATCATCTGGTGGCATCGCACCTACTCCGGCATTTTCTAGTGATCTCAATGACGCTTCCACAACTAGCTCGCTCACCGCTGCTACTACTTCAAGTAATATTGCTGGCCCCTCGGCAACATCCAGCGCGTCTTCAACCGATGGCTCAACGGCTAGCACATTCTTCAGTGCCCAAGGTGACGCTTCCACTACCAGCTCGTCCACGTCCGCCACTACAACATCGGTTGATGGCGCTGGTGGCGTTGCTGCTCCTACCACGATGACGCCCGACTCGACTTCATCTACGACATCAGAAGCCGCACATGTCGCGGACCCCTTAGGAACATCTAGCACAGTCTCGTCTGTTGATTCAGAGGCCACAACCACGTCTTCCACTAATATAGACACCGCAACGTCCACTAGCTCCAGGACAACCACATCGACTGACCCTGCCAATGTCTCTGCCGACCATACTTCGAGTACCTCAGCTGTCCTGACAACTTCGTCAACGGGCGCTGCTTTGCCACATATCACAACCCCGTCTGGCATTGCAAGCTCTACAACCAGCACAACGTCTTCAACCACGACATCCTCGCCAGATCCCTCTGTCGTGGCCGAGGACCCGCCAAACACCAGTTCCAGGACCACGACCACTACTAGCGACGTCGCGATTGTAACCACCACGCCAGTCCAACTGGCGCCGCCAGTAATCATCACCTCGGACCCGACTTCTAGCTCCACATCTACATCCACAACCTCAACCTCCACGTTAGCCGAGGCTAGCGATCCCACCCCACCTCCTCCTCCAACATCGATCGGCGGTGAAGGTGGTGATGATGACAGTGAGAAGGACGGTTCAACCCCAACACCCCCACCCCTGCCTACACCTGGGAGCGATGACACCGGTGATAATGACGACGAGCCAGCCACGGCGCCCACGACAACCACGTCAAGCGCACCCTCGATTCCGACTCCGGCTGGCGGGTCTAACGACAGCGCGACCGGAGACGAGGACAACGACGACGATCATCCGGGAGTGGTGTTCGAGGACGAGTGATGAGACTGACCTTGCCAACTTTCTCGGCTGTATCCTTCCTTTTGTAGAAGTCGAATAAAGGGTGAAATTTGAAGTCAGCTAAAGTTGCTGGAATTGAAGTTGAACTTGGACTTGAACTTGGGATGAGTACATATTTACTTGTGGATAGATATCAACAAAGGGTGGAATACCCATCGTCATACTCTGGCTGCCCTATCGGTTTGTATTTACTGAATGCCACAACATAAATAGACTTGCTCTCTAAGCATGTTGCCAGGCGCTGCCTTACCAACATCTTGAAGCCCATGCCGTTAATGAGAATGTGGATGAGAGATATCGAAGAACTGGAGTGCGAGCCGGCTTCTGGAGACTATGGCGGCGTTCTCCTCATCTCCTGCATCCATTGACATCAACTATGCTCAGAAAAGAGGTCTGAAGCAGCGAAAGCAGGGGATGTTGGGATAAAATAGCAATATCCCGTTGCAAACAATGAGGTGAAGGCTCAAATCTCTGCGAACTGAAGGTGATTGAAATCCCACGTGATGCCGTGTTTCGCGTCACGCGTCATGCGTCACGCGTCGCGCTTCTCCATTTCATCTTTTTGTCTCTGCGCCTGAACTCAAGTTGCACCAAACCCGCGAGGTCTGCATGGGTTACCTGTGAACACGGTCTGAAGTAGGCTCGCAGGCTCGGGTGCTCAGTGATGTTGTCGAAGCCGTTTAAACCGCTGAAGATTCGCCAGCCTAATCTCAACGATGACGCCGCTACGACTGAAAGTCCGCCGTCGAAACGCCGAAAACTCAGTCCTTCAGACGGGCATGAAGATGGGTCTGACCTTTTCAGACGGCCTAAATGTGCCTCGAAGCGGCCGACGTCCGACACCCCCAGACAACCCCTGAAGCAGATCACGAATCCCTCTAGTCCTACACAACAAGACGAGGAGACCGCCACAGGCGGGATTGACAGTTATTATTTCATCCTATGGTATGCATATCTGCGCCCAGCGCCTTCATTTGCTGAATACTTCGCAGGCGTCTTCCTACGAACAAGAAGAACAAAACTTGGACAGATGACGGGGTGCTAGCCATTAGAGGTGGCTATGCAACGCTGTATAACAACACGGGGAAGAGCATTGGCCGAATCCCGTTCTCTTCGCCCCTGCTGCCCGGCTCCAACCTGGCCATTGGCGGGAAAGAAGTTGAGGTCGAGTCATGCATCAATAAGACTGAATATCTCAAATATGTTAGCGCAAGCACCAAGCCTGCAAAGGAGAAGCTCGAGATGGAATCTGGGTCATCTTCCGCCAACCAGCAATCGAAGCCGAGCATGCAGGCCCAGATGAAAGCTCAGATACAGAAACAGAAGACACAAACCCCGAAGCAAGCTGCACCCCATCCACTTCGCGTTTCAGCTTTCAAGCCGCCGATCAAGGAAACAAGGGTTCTCGCGCAAACCTCAGGTGGTACCCCTACTCCGAGACATGATCCTGCTGCGCCCGGCGCTCTCGTTTTCAAAAGACCTCCAAGCCCTCCTGACGGTCGACAGACGGTGGATGTAGTGCTTGACCCTTACATTGCCAAGAAGCTACGTCCGCATCAACGGGAGGGAGTCAAGTTCCTCTACGAGTGTGTTATGGGACTGAAGGACTTTGATGGCCAAGGGTGCATTCTCGCGGATGAAATGGGATTGGGCAAGACCCTGACCACTATATCTCTTTTGTGGACTTTGCTCCGACAGAATCCAGTCTTCAGGGATCCGCCTGTAGTCAGAAAAGCGCTCGTTGTGTGCCCCGTCTCCCTGATCCGGAATTGGAAACGCGAATTTAAGAAATGGCTTGGCCGAGACCAACTGGGAGTGCTTGAGTTCGACGAGAAACGCACGCGTCTGAGCGACTTTGACGGCCGGGTTTTCCAGGTCATGATTATCGGATACGAAAGGTTAAGAATGGTGGCCGATGACCTTGCAAAAAGCCATTCTATCGACATTGTCATATGCGACGAAGGCCATCGACTCAAGACGATGAAGAACAAAGCAGCCCAAGCCATCGAGTCGTTAAATACCAAGCGTCGGGTCATTTTGTCCGGGACGCCCATCCAGAATGACCTAGGCGAATTCTTTTCAATGGTCAACTTTGTCAATGACGGTGTACTGGGGTCTCCAAAAGGCTTTATCAGGGACTATGAGAAGCCTATCATGAGAAGCCGGCAGCCAGATGCGACGGCGGATGAGATCGAGCGCGGGCAGGAAGCTAGCGAAGACATGAGCCGGATAACCTCGCCGTTCATATTGCGCCGGACCGCTGATATTCTGTCGGACTTCTTGCCCCCGAAGACGGAGTATGTGTTGTTCTGCAAACCGACACCGGCTCAAGCAAAGATCTACCGGAACGTCATTCGTTCGCCCATGTTCCATTCCGCGTTGCGCAGTCCGGATACAGCATTTCAACTGATCACCATTCTGAAGAAGCTCTGCAACAGTCCGGCACTGATGGACCCGATGAGTGGCAACGATGACGCGACTCCGTCTTCCTCACTCGTGGCGCTGAATGACATGCTGCCCGATGGGTTCTCCAGGCTGTACCAGAACTCCGTCTCGAGCAAGATTCGGCTTCTCGATCAGCTGCTTCAACAGATCCACCGTACCACCGATGAGAAAGTGGTTATCATCTCTAACTATACGTCGACACTCAATTTGATCGAACAGCTGGCGAGAAACTCGAATTACGAGTCTCTCCGCCTGGATGGCTCTGTTCCGGCGAAGAAGAGACAAGCTCTGGTCGATCAATTCAACCAGTCACCGCCTGCCAAATCTTTTCTCTTCTTGCTGAGTGCTCGAGCCGGTGGAGTGGGACTTAACCTGATCGGAGCCAGCCGACTCGTACTGTTCGATGTGGACTGGAATCCTGCAACGGACGATCAAGCAATCGCACGCATCCACCGGCAGGGTCAGAAGCGGCATTGCAAAATTTACAGATTTCTCATCAAGGGTGGATTAGAGGAGCGCATCTGGCAGCGGCAAGTAGTCAAGAGAGCGCTGGCGGACAGCATCATGCAGGGTGGAGCAAGTGCCGCGTCCAACTCTTTCGACCCGTCTGGCAGGGGCAAAGGAAGCACGTCAACCTTCAGCCAAGACGAGCTCAAAGATCTCTTCCGCCTTGATGAGAGTGAAGGACTGCGTACTCACGACTTGATTGAGTGTCGGTGTGAAGGCGCCGGGCAGGAAGCTGGGGACGACAGCGACATAGGCCGTCTTCCCACTGGCGGCGACGGAAATGAAGACTGTGACGATGAGTCTCTTGTACCGGTTACGAGGTCTAGCACTTCCTCTCCGACAATAAATCCAGGAAGCTCGAGGAGGCGGAGCGTCACAGGCAAAGAGGCTCACATCATTCCGCCAGCGCAATCTGAGACAGGCCACGTGGCAGAGAAGCATGAGTTGATGCAGTACCGACACATTAACACTTCTCTATTGCGCCAGGCAGAAGATGAAAACGACGACGACGACTTGAAGGCCAACATCCTCTGCGCAGTGGAGGATGCATGTCTCGAGCATGTTCTTAAGCTCGATCGGGACATGGTAGGCGGAGGTGGTGTGTCATACGTGTTCAAGAAGGTGAGGGGAAGTCAAGGACTATGATGATAAAGGTGGTATGAAGCGCAGGTCGATACGTGGACAACTGTACACAATAAAAGGAAGCAGGGTTTCCAACGGCATTACAAAATGAAGGCCGATGACTTGGGAGGAGATGATAGAGACCGACCTTCGAGATATCTCTTGTCTTTCCTAGGCTGGCTAGGACATTCCCCAGGGGTGTGAACAACCAGGTGTTGAGTCCGGAGGAGGTTCTGCGAGAGTTTGGGCTAGTTCATTTCCGATGCGAGATTCCATTGACGCCTCCCGCGCCGTTGGATGCCTACGCACCCAAAGTGGCCTGGTCGACAGCCATAACATCACACAGATCCACCAACTGGGGGAATATTCTCCACCTCCCAACAGGCCTTGCCGGCGAGGGTAGCCAGAAAGAGGACCCTAGCACTGCGCAGCACGCACGGAGTCCACAGGATGCAGCCGACCCCCATGTTTCATGGTGGCAGTTGTGGAAATTTCTGGCGCAAAGATCGACTCCTGGCGATGGCGTTTCCCGCATATTGTCTCCACGCATTGACATGGTCTGCTACGGAGTACGGAGTACCTCGTAAGGAGTACACAGCGCCTAGCTACTCATTCCTCGGCATACCTTAAGCGGGAGTGCGCAATTAATCCATGGCAGCGCTTGAAAAGGAGGATTCTTGGGATCAATGCCGATCTTCTTGTGCGGTTCAAATGGTTCATTACCCGTGGGCTCCCTTCGTAGATGGTCTTCGTCGAACACGGTGACCGTCCCGGATGCTGTAGTGCGGTACAGCTACAGCCGGTAGAGTTGGACTGCATTCCACAGTCTCACAATGCGGGTTCAGACATTCTCCGTGGTCCTCTCTGCCATCACAGGCACAGCTTTAGCCGGTTGGCCTGGGTCAGACCGGGGGTGCGACTCCGGCATCTACGCAAAGTACCAGCCTCTGACGAACTACGAGCCGGCTGAGCGGTACTGCTCTGCACATTTCCCGCAACCCGTCGTCACCGTCACTGTGACTGCTACGGCTCGTGGCTGGTTCCCATGGGACAAACGAGCCTGGGGACCTCTAAACCCGCGGGACATGCTCCTCCAGCAGTTGGAGCAGCTACCACGGAATCAGCAGCAGATTGTGTGTTCCTGTATCGACGTTCCCAAGACCACCACGGTAAGGTGTCTCCAGTTGCTCGATTGATCTACGTCTAACCTTGTCTGCAGGTCACTGTCGGCAAACCCATGACGAGAAGGCCGAATCGCCCCCATGCCACCTCCTCCGGTCCAGTCACTACCACTTCCGGGAGTACGTCTTTTACATTGAGGACATCGACTTCATCGAGTTATCCTTCGAGCACGACCCTCAGTAAGACTACCACACTACCGAGCACATCTTCTACGAGTAGCTCTAGTCCAGCTACAACTTCAACCACGACTACCACCAAGACTGCGACCACGACAACACCTGTAACGACTACAACTACCACCACACTTGAGACCACGACTACGACCACAACCACATCTTCACTGAGCACGACCACGACCACGACTACCACCTCACCGAGTACAAGCACAACATCACCCCCTACAACTACAACTACAACCACTATCACGCCTACGACTACAACCACAACTACCACCACGACGTCAGCCACAGCCTGTCCCACAGACCAAGCCACAGCCCCCGGCGGCGGCTGCGGCGGCTGCACGTGGACCATCTCGTGCGGGCAACTCGTCACGGCCACGAACAACAACCCGAACTGGGACATCGACCCGCAGCCGGACTACGCGTCGTGCCTGCGCGAATGCGACGACAACGGCTTCTGTGCCGCCTTCACCTACAACGCGGCCACGGGCCAGTGTCGCCAATTCCTGTACGGTGGCGACGGCGACATCACGCTGACGCCGGCGCCCGCGTGGGATAGCGCGAGGTTCGTCGAGGGGTCGTGTACGGGGTTTGATTGTGTCGCTTATCAGTGTCCTGGCGAGAATGAGAATTGTGTGGATTAGGTGGCTGGTTAGCTGGTTAGGTGAAGCGAGATGGACGGACAGCCGGGCGTACGGACAGACAAGGAAGGAGGGAAGGAAGCAAAAGAGGACGGATGCAAGAAAGACCGGGGGTTTGGGAGGAGACCGATTCTACCGTAGTTTAATCATCGACCCTTTCCTTTCTTTGCTCGGTTTCGACCAGGATGCCTGGTTACTTATTACTCATTGTTCGTGTCCATGCACCACGTTGTACATGCACTGTACATTATTAGGGTGTTTGTAATGGGATCTTCTACCTAGATTGTGGCTGTCTTTCAACGGACGAGAAGCTATATTATAGTACGGAGTACTTGTCGGAGCACTCCGTGTGGTGGCTGAGGGTGGCTGAGGTATGTTCAGACATGATTACTTTATGTAGATAATGTATGCCCCGCTGTACCTTCTACAGTAATTGACAGCTCCGCATGATGCCATAGACCGGGAGACGACTGTCGTTAATAGCAGTATTAGATAGGAGACGATAGGAGACGATAGACGATAGGAGACGATAGACGATAGGAGACGATAGACGATAGGAGACGATAGACGATAGGAGACGATAGACGATAGG